AATAAGAATCGAATGTTTGTTAGCACAGCTATCAATCGAATGGTTTAGATACTGGCATGAAATAAAATAGTTATATAAAAGAAAAAAAAGTAAAGTAATTTCTTTTTTTTAATTTCATTTACGACCTGTAAGTAATTTGATACACAGCGACTTTCTACATTTCTTTATCTTGGCGATAAAAACTTCCTCAGCGCGCTGTAGTTACGACCGACAAGATAAAGTACATTTACATGTACCGGTTTATTTAAACACATTAAAACGCATCGGATTGATACGCGGCAATGCATGCGTACCGTTACAATGTCCTCTCAAGGTAAATTGATATCTAAGTCAATAGAGTTAAGCGTTACATTATAAAGCAGTGGATTTTTATGACATTTAAATGACTCCTGTTTATTGCATTAGAATTTGTCGTAACCAAAACGGTACGGTTCGTATTACGAAATCGATTTCGTAGAATGACTATAAAAAGGGAAGCTTAAAAGTTGCTCCATTGGAATTATTTCCGTTATTTATTGATAACATTTTTAAACGACGAAAAACCAAATGCTTGCAATCGAGTTATTTGTAAGTTTCACATATCAATGCTAGTATTTAAATTAACTTTTGTATAATAGTCTTCATTAGGTCTCAGTAAAGCAAATCCACACTTCTTTAGAACCGACAAATGTTTATTCAATTGTTTTACTATGCATAAAGTTTGTTCAACTTAGTTATCGCTTTCAGCGCGTATCTTGCGCCCAGCGTGAAAAGCTCTCAAGTAATTTGCCGCCTAATTTATTACGCTATTAAAGTTCTCGCACGAACTACATTCAAATCAGGCTGCGATAATGTAGCGTGCGTGGCTGCGTGGCATATGGGAGAGAATTTATCAGCCTTCTATGTTAAATGAGTGGATTGCCCTCTCGCTAGTGACAGGGTACTGAGCCATTCTTCTAGCGTGCTTACGGTTTTATGTGGTTTTGAAAGTGTTGTATAATTTAGTGATGGGCTTATTTTATTGTCTACATTTTCTTGTAATATCATTTAACATTGTTGACAGTTCAAATCATTATGAATGAAATACATTTACAGTATACGATAAAATTTAAATGCTTAGTTGGTTTGTTTTATAAATATATTTGAAGGAATATTATACTTCGTTTATATTCTTTATCAACGTACGAAGATCTTGAAATTAATATTTTTATTAATAAAAATTATATATACACAGGAAAAATTTGTTTGTCTGTTTGTATTTGTGCTCCGAAACTACAAAACCCCTATCCTCGGGCTATAAGCTATATGTTTTTTTTTCGTTATTTTTTTTAATACCGGACGAAGTCGCGAGCAGCAGCTATCATCATCAGCTCACTATATGTCCCCACATCGAAAAACACATCGGTACATGGCGGGATTCGAACCCAGGGCCTGCAGATTACAAGTCAAGTGCTGAAACCACTGAGCCACCGACGCTCTCATGCAAGCAACAGCTAATATGTTATAAATTCTAACAACAATGAATGCAATTTATCCAGATCTTCAGCCAGTAAATCATAATAACGAATCACTAGATTTAACCAATTTGATATTTAAATCTTGATTTAAGCATTGTGTAGGCATTTCCGTCGAGAGGTCTAATGCATTTTACGACATTAACTAAAATTTATATTCATTTATGTGTAATAAATACTGAGCAATGTATTTAACATTCGTGAACGTTCACTGGCAACACTCGACTTTATGAAAATGGTCGCATCTCCAACATATTAAGATTCTATTCATTATTAAGATTTACTTATGTCGCTGCGCTGCAAAGATTTTGTTACCTACAATATATTTTATAATAGATTTATCATTGTAATGGATGTTGGTATTTAAGAGTACGTGTTAAGATTTATGCGCTTTTATAGAAGAAAATAATTTTTTCTAAGAAAATATTGTATGTCTTTAAGATAAGTTATTTTATAGCCACTAAAGATCTTAAAACATTCTAAATACGCATTCAATTTATTTAAGTGTCATATAACTAAAGCCCACACAATCATTATGCAGCCTTTGTTGTAGGAAATAATTTTCATTAGATAGAAGTAAGTTAGGGGTGACTAGGCCATAGTCAACCACGCTGGCCAAGTGCGGGTTGGTTGACTTCACACTTTCTACACACTATCTTTTTTTCTTAATTTCTTCTCGGATATGTGCCAAGAAAGCTTTACTCTTATAAAAAAAAATCGAACACCTCTACTATTACCATTTTAATTTATGTAAAAGCTTTATAGATAAATAACGTTTCTTTCGTGTAATATGTGTAAACAATATAATAAATCTTACGGTACAAGAAATTTCCTTAGCAAGTTATTGTGTTTTAACGAGAACAATTGCATTAAATGATATGATAATTTACTCCTAATTATTGTCGACGGGTCAATTAATCGTTCACCTTACAGGCTGCGATATCTCACTACGAGTACATTTGTCATCGTCACACAAGATAGATTGGACGTACATTAAGTTATTTTTCCACGCGATGACTAATTTGTCTCTAACTTTTAATATATTTAACCGATAAGAACAATTAAAAATGCCTAAAAACTGATTTACTGAAGAAAAAAAAAATATAAACAATTTTTTGCAATACAGTTTAAAATTATTTAGGTCGCTTTAGTCATATTTATATTTGATTGAAATTTATTGGCGTACTTAGTTTTAGAAGCGACAAAATGATTATAGGTGTTTGATTTAGGTGTTCTCTAAAATATTTACTTGGTACGATTTAAACCCGGTCCATGTCGGACTTTACACATATGACATGTATACGATATATATTGCAATATCGTGGTGCAAGTGAAATATAAACAGCGATACCATATTGGATATTTTTACAATATGTAGAAATCAAATCTCACAGAAAAACAAAACAGACACTCTTCCTAATCTTTACCAGCACATTAAAAAACTAGCAATTATTTCCTTCTCTACTATTATTTTACTTTAACTCTTGTTGTCCCTAATGAGACCTTTACTATACATATACATTTCTATACATTTAATTATTTTGTTTTATTTTGTACCTTTTTATTTTTATTAACCCTACTATTCCGCTACGCGTGTTAAATACGCCGACGTGCTCTAGCAGGGATTGTAGGCGCCCTTGACGGTGGCCGCAGGGCGCAGGGCGCAAGGCGCAAGGCGTGTTTAACTCACGCATGTTGTCTAATGTATAACATGTGAACGTGTGTAGAACACAACATTGCGGCCAAATTCTTGCACATGCGGCTTTCAAAGTGCAATAACACAGTTTAAATTATATCCAGTGATGTAGAGCGCACAAAATGGTATTTTGATATTTATTATATAGGTTTTAGTACACCTCTGTCGCTTCATCTACATAATCTTAGACTACGAAACTTATTTTTTTTTGTCTTGATATCGGGGTGAATGTTTACAAGATAATCTACCTTTTCAAGGGGAAGGTAGGTGGCGATCTTCAAGTGCAAATGCGTGGATCTCCGTTGTTTATTGACAAATTGTTGCAAAAATATATCACGCATTATATGCAATATAAAATTAGCTCACGTGTGAATAGAATCTTATAAAATAAACATTACAAAACTCTTAAAAGTTTATCTTGTTTATAAATTTTTCAAAGTTCTCTTTATCTGTCCAATTGAATAACATCAATTAGCGAGCAAAGTTGAAGAAGTCGTTAGACCTTATAGCGGTTTTTTTAATAGCTCGCGAAATGGGAATCGGATATGTCTATCAAGATTACAAATAGATTGATATATGCACTTTAAATTAATAACAATAAACATTGAACTGTCATGTGGCAATGGTGTTTTAGCATTTAGAAAATTTATTACTGTGCAATCTAGTTTTGGTAAGGTTGCGTAAATTTATTAATTGATTTATATGTGAACGTTGCTTATTTACTTATATGCTGCCAATCCTGACATATCTTTAAGATTCCATTCAGACCCATTTGGGTGTTAGCAGAGCAGATTTCATCGCAAATAAAACCTTGTTTCAATCGTATATTACTTTTGTAATCTTCGAACAAAAGTTTTGAATACCAATAAATATCTTCTATATGTTGATTTATATGACCTAATTGAAGTATACACGGATGCACTTATTCATTAATTTAATGCGTGCATTTAATATTCAATACCTGCATTAAAATTATTTGCGTATAACATTTGAACTACGACATAGATTTAAAACGTTACAATCGCATCAGAGGTCACTTCAGTGGGACCATCAAAATTTCCTATAACATCGAATATTATTTAATATATTTGTAAATACTTACGTATTGTAATTGACAAAATTAAGAAAATAAATCTTTAAGACCTTTCACTTGTATTCAATCTTAGTAATATTATAAATACGAAAGTTTAGATAGATGCTTGTTACAAGGTATTTCCAGAACGACTCAACGGATCTCGATAAAATTACTAGGCTAGTCATTAATTACTTTTTCCAATTCCGCGGACGGAGTCGCAGGCGACAGCTAGTTTGTTTATAAATACGAATTACTCAGTATTAAATAATCTACTGATTCCTTTAGTAATAATAGGTACCAAAGCTTGCTACAAATTAAGATTTATATTGCGATGTTTAGATGTGTATCGGCGTTGAAGCGCACGCCTTTGAGTCGCACTCACAGCAAGCGAAAAGGTCTCTGTTAACAGTACTAAAGGTTACTTAAAAGACAATCTGTCTTAGTAAATAAAACATTAGTCTTAGTTAAATCATTGTTATTTAACTGTTCTTTCGTTCTTCGTATTTACGAAGCATTCGTTTGTCTTTAAACAATAAATATTATTACATCAGAGTAAAATCGGCAAAAGATTAATTCGTTTAGTTTACTAAGTTAGTTTTTATTCACTCTATAGTACAGTTAAAACGTTTGTATAAAATTACGATTGTCTATAAAGTTTGTATCTCACTGTATTCTTAATAGGTATACTTTTCTCCCAATTATAAATTACCAAACATTATCTTTCTTTGTTCCGCAGGCGATCGGGCACGTGTCGGGCGGGCACATTAACCCGGCGGTGACATGCGGATTGTTCGTGTCGGGAGACATCAAATTGCTCAAGGCTCTGCTGTACGTGGTCGCGCAGGCAGTGGGCGCAGTCGCTGGTGCCGCATTCATCAGGGTAAGTAACTTGTAAAAGGAACGTTTTGGTAGCCAAGTCATTTGTACCTATGTATACCTCTCTTTAGCTGAGAATCTTCTTCTGGTGGATGTTTATCTATGATCACAAAACTTAAGCTAAGAATTTTTATTTATATCGTCAAACGAATCGGTATTTAATGACGCCAAATGTCCTAACGATGCTCTAGATTGATGCCTCGTTTGAATGATGCCAGTACAGTAGGACAGTAGCACTCAAAATTAGCTATAACTGGCATAATGTATACACTAACTGTGCTCAAACAGTAAATGCAAGGCCAGGGCCACTGTACTACTGTACTGGCATAATGTAAACCAGTCATAAATACTATAATGTGAAGAAGATAAAATGAGTAGCATCTACTTCCCAGATTGCTAGATGACTTTGTAATGACTAGAATGATATGAATGCGGAAAATTGACCACAGATGGTGTGGGAAAAGTGGTGTTTGTTGATTTGTGTAGGATGAATTATAGGATTGAGTGTCTAAGAATTGGTTATACTGTTATTAATATAGCAATCTATTACTTTTAATCACTTATTAAAAAGTTAACTTATACCAGGTTCATAAATGATAACGTAATAATACGTTTTAATTAATCTTAGTTATCGAGAATTTAATGAAAGCTCACTACGTTTATTTCAAAATAACACATCAAAGAATTAATTATAAATTACTACTGCCGACCATTCGTTCAAAAACATATATCCCTCAATCTCTTTGAGAAAACGGAGATATCAATTAAATCAATGAGATTAAATAGTGAATTACGTAACTTATGATAAAAGAGATCTTGACAACTCATTACAGAGTCGCAGTAATTAATATGTATGGCTAATAAGGCGATACTATTCACATTGACATTCTAAGAATCATATAGAACTTGTGCACATTTGCCTTTAAATATACTGTTATATGAAATCAAGGTCTACGTTTCAAATGAAAAATCCCCGTAGGTCTCTTCTCGTCGTTATGGCAACCGTCTAACAGCGCCTAAAAATAAAAATAATGACGTCATCATTACTTTACGCTATTATAATAATTGTAATCATTAGATTTTAAAGACATTAAAAAATCAAAATATGTATGTTGTTATGTTTATATATCCACGTTAACTATTACACAACTGAATGGAATATTCATTAATAAAGATAATTATAAAACAATTGGATGCTATTTCATGAATATTTTGTCAGTGTGAACCCACGGTTATCTATTACCGTTCCATTTAACGTTCACACATGTGAGCAGTACAAAAAGTGTCGCTCGCCCTGACACTGCTGATGTTTGAATAAAGAAATGAATTAGAGCATCGGCCTTCAGTCGCCTAACTAGTTTGCTGACGGTACTCGACAACTAGGGCTGCCAATATTCAATAAAAGTAGACAAAAAACAGTGGCGGAGCAAAAATAATAAGTAGTGATTTGTCAATCCTAGACACTAAAAACAAACATATCTACAAACCCTGTTATTGCTTTAATCCAAAATTTCGATGTCAAATCACCAGCTTCAATAAACGCACTACAAATTGGCATCATAAATTCGTAGCAAATTCAATAGGTGGCAGCCCTAGCGATAACTCGGCGTGATGCATAAACTATGATTTACAATCGAAAGCTGTGCGAACAGCTAGCGACCTCTAGTACGCTCATCACGCGCTTCACAAAACTTAACATCAATCAAATTGAAACCCACGTCGCTAGTTCATTATCTATGCTAATGAATTATACATAAAAGATGCCTGCGTTAAGATAGGGTGCGTTTGGGTGATCGCTTAGGGCACTGGTAACCCACCAGAGACATGGCATGAAAAGGGGGAGTCGTAAAAATCTCGCTCATGGCGCTGGCAACCCTAAAACTGGCACTGATCTTTAATATTAGGATATATTAGTTGGAGACTCTCCTCCTTGTTTCTTCCATAAAGTGTAGCGTTTTTCCGTTGCCTTTTACACCGGACCTTTCACTTCATTTATTTTATTTCATATCCGTCTGTGTATTCTTTAAATAAAAAGAAAGTGAACCTACACTTCCTATCATAATAGGAGGGTGTAAAAAATACACTATGTTTCAGAATTTCACAACAATTATCATAGTTATATTACTCGATGATTTAATTTGGAATAACGTTAAAGGTTTGTATTTTAGGCATTAAGTGACGACTTTTATTGTTTTGGCTTTTAAACACACATACGTTGAAGTTATTAGGTACTAGTTTAAAAGACTCGTTAATATAACGTAACGTTTTAAACGAGTACAAATTCCAAATGTACTTTTTAAACCGTCACAATTCTCATTAGATAAATTGATTACTTTGCGAAGTTAAATGTAACATGTATTTGGATCTCAAATGATTACGTTTCATTCTTTAATGATGTGTTAAATATAAATCAGATGAATGGAGCTTTTAATTTTTTAACTAATTAATATTGACATATGCAATTTATTTTATTGGCAAGTCCTTGACCTAAGACCTACAGAATTAGATGATCGTATTGTAACAGTACTACGTATATGAATAGTGTAATTACTTGACTGATTAGTTCAATATATAGTCTATTTGTGAAAAAGAAATATAACAAGTGTATTGTGATAAGAAAAATAAAACAAACTGTTTATTTTAAATATAAAAAACGATATAATTACGGACTGATTAAATAAGTTAGTTCGAAACTTCTAGACTATGCAATGACTAATGTAAAAAAAAGTACCGTCTGAGATATCGAATGACATCGGATAAACGTAATTTATAGAACTTTTAACACGTCTTTCAAATGCATTTGTTTAGGGAAATTGAGCATTTTATAATTGTTTTTATTTATTCTATTAAATTGTTTGATGATCTTAGATTTCAGTGTTGTTATTTATTGTAAAAATGTAATGTATTTTTGCTTCAGCTCGCCGTGCCCGAGAATGTTGTGGGAGGCTTCGGTATGACCCTGCCCGGACCTGGGGTTAATGATGGACAGGTTATTATTTATCATATTTTATAGTTACTTAAAAAAACTATATATATATATATATATATATAATCGTTGCGTTCCATTGCAACAATTGGTGCCATATGTCGGTTTCACGATGTAACACAGTTCTATCAAAATCAGTGATGGAATATTGCAGTGTTGTTTTACACTATGGTTGTCTTTATGTGTAGGCTCTGCTGGTGGAAGCGCTGATCACGTTTGTGCTCGTGTTGGTGGTGCAAGGTGTGTGCGACGGCGGCCGTACCGACCTGAAGGGCTCTGCACCCCTTGCTATCGGCCTCAGCATTACCGCCTGCCATGCCGCATGTGTAAGTATAACTAACACGCCCTTTAGCGTTCTTTTATGAAAAACTACCTTCTAATAAATAAATCATCGTAGGTTTCTGAGACCAAAATGTTTTAAACAGAGATTTTAGCCCAGAAACCCTCAGTGCGGCAGTTACAAGAAATGTCGATAATATGTTTACGAATATAAGCGAAGAATGAAATGTATATAAACTTTATTCCTTTAGTCTGGTTTAAAATTATTTCGTTCTGGTCTGAATAGGTGCTCTAAGCTAGAAAAATTACATGCTAACGAGCCCACCATAGGTCTCGGGCTGATGGGCACTAATGTGGTGTTGTACGGGGCATTTCATAATCAGGGCATCATTGTGTTGACACATATCACTTTTTAATAGCTGCGCAAAATGCACGTAAGGAAATTCAACTTCTACCTCTTTTGCAAATATGTGTCTAATATATTTTTTTGTCAACAGATCCCATTCTCTGGCTCGAGCATGAACCCGGCGCGTTCCTTCGGTCCTGCCCTCGTTATGGGCGACTGGACTTCCCACTGGGTACGTTATCCTTAAACTTTTTACTTAATTATGTCCTACTGTCACTTGAGGTACACAAATCAAACGCCTGTTACTAAACGAAAGAACGATATTACCTTTTTAGATCGTATAAATAAATCTGAGAATTTTGTAACATTTACTATAAAAGTTATGTCTTAGAAAATAAAATTTTATTTATTTCAATTAAAAAAATGAAAAGTCTGCGTAACATGAATATAAAAATTACATAATAAAATCGAAGACATAAAATCTAACTATCTGAAAAGCAATTAACTTTATAATATAGTTATTATTTATTGTAATGTTAACGATATCGAAAGTGAGAGTAAAAATGTATGCAGATTTTATATTTTAAATTATTTTTATTGCTGTCAGAAGTTTCATTTATAAACGGATTAGTGTTGTGAATAATAAAATTTTACATTTTATCGACTATCGGTAGTAACTAGTGAGGTGCGTATCCAATCGATAATACACGATCTATTCACTTTCTCTTGATGTCTCGTGACTGCGGCAGCAAGTCTCAGATGTGCAGACGTTACGAGACATAATGTACATGTTCATATGCATCTAGCTCGTTACATAACAACAATCTAAATCTAGCTTTTGTTTTTGTTACCGGTTCTCTTACGACACTTTTAACGTTTTGCGCAAACGTAGTGATGTGCAATTTGAGTTGTAAAAGTTAATTGAAAACTATTTTGTGTTTGTGACATACTGTTATATTTTACTATTCGTGTTTGAGACGTCGTAAAGATTTTGAAACATCCACTTTTGATTGATTTTACTTATTGTTAAATTGAGTAGAAAGCTGACTACAAGTTTGTTAATATTCGTTCGTAAGTCAAATAAGGATGTGCAGTTAGAAAGACTACTTTAAAACATCGACGTAATATCGAAAACCTTATTTTTGTAAAGAGTAAAGAGTTTTTGTAAACGCTTCTACTTAATTTCTCGAACGTAAGCATGAGATTCAATTTTGTTGTATCCAATAATAAAAGGGTTTAACCACAATCTAGATGTAGTTAGTTGCGCAGTTTCCTCGAAATTACAAGCTAACGAGTCCATTGTGAAGCTTTCTCATACACGTTACAGAAAGCGTGGACTGAACCTTTCTATAGAAAACATGCGTCCGCACTTTTGCGGCGAACAGAGCGTGGAATAGAGAACAATGAAAGTGAAGATAATTCCTTCCTACATCATTTTATACACGCACAATCGTTTCGAATCTCGACAAATGGAATAGGATAATATCTAGATGGAAGTATGATTGAAAAATACAGGAGTCTGGTTTATGTTTACATTCATGATTTTGTCGTTATGTAATTGAGATATGAATAAAAGATATAGAGATATCTCTTATCTGTAGCAGACATTCTTCCCGCCTATGTTTTCGAAGTTAACATCTGAGATTTAGCAATCAACCATATTGAGCGTATCTTTGATAAATATTGTTGCTTCCAGGTGTACTGGGTAGGTCCGATCGTGGGTGGTGTGGTCGCCGGCCTGGTGTACAAGTTTATCTTCTGGATCGGCAAGAGCGGCGAGAGTGGCTCCTACGACTTCTAAGCGTCTCGAATTCAAGCTAGTGCCTTAGCTGTATCATTTAACCTCTTGCATTAGAACCCCAACAGATTGGTACAAATATCACTTACGCTGCTTATTTTTAGTATGCTCAATAATCTAACTATATTTGAATTATTTATTAAATGTAACGTTCGAACGTAATTGTACCAATTCGTCTAATTTATTTAATATGTTGAAAGGAAATCAAAAAAATTGAAACGGAACGAAACGAATAACAAAAATATGTGGAAGGAGACATATAAATTGTCTTCATGTAGGTATCGAATCGCTAGAAGGCTTGAAGGGTAGTGCGAGAGGTTAATGGTTACATCGTACATGCTCATTGATAGATGTACATCTCTTTTGACATTTAATCTGTGACATTCTCCCACGAATATTTCATAATTTATTTATCAATGAGCGTTTGTTACGATCGATTCTATTTTTAATACATGTTTGGAACAATCCAAAGCCGATATTTATAAACGATACTTGTTGATTTAACAGAAAAATATAACTAATAAATATATTATGGAAGACTATATTGGTCGCATGTAAGATAATATTTAGGTTAAGATAGGGTTTATTTTAAGTCTATTTATACATTGTGATTAAGGCTTGATATCCACTAGAGATAGGCATATGAGTAAAGAAAAAACCTGCTAATATTGAATTAACCAATTACGTCTTTAGTGGATACCTAGCCTGTGATTATAACAATTTAAAAGATGTTTATTACACAAATTGTATACTCGTAGTGTTGTCTGTCATTTTGAATTTAACATTATTTTTATTTACTATAAATTATTATGTCGGACATTACTCACGTGAAATATCTTTTACATAATAAATAACTACAAATTATGTTGTTCATTTATTTATTAAAATTATAATTATTATAGAAAACACCCGAAATTAAAACACAAGGTTTCGGAGTATTATGGATAACGTTCGGTTAAACGCAATTTTTAAAAAACTCGAATTTCTATTCCTATTTTCCTATAACAATATATAAAAATTGTTATCCCCATATTATTCATGTCAGTACAAAGTGGGTCAAATATACACGAGTTTAGAGAGTCGACCTTGTCCTTTATCATTTTCAATGCAACACATGTGAGGCGAATCGTTTTGAAGTGACAGTGACAATTCGATACTCAGTTACTTTTGTTCCGACACAATCGAGTAGTTAAATGATCTCCGCAAAATCGATTTAATGGTAATATGTTTTGTCGCCGATAGTAATGTATTGTGGATTGCTTATTGAAGGAAGGTGGATGGTCACCATTCTATAGATGTAATCGTGCGCAAGCAGCGCCGAACTGGGTTAGAACTATAAAAAAATCACGAAACCTGTTGTTTTTATTAAATCTCTAAGGTTATTTAAGCTGTATCAAATCTCATCTCGTCACGACGTCAACCCTCGTGGTTTCACACAATATTCGTGACTGAGTCGCGCTATCATCGTCGACATCATCGGCGCCTGCGCAACGCTAACACTGAAAATCTGAGTCCTCGAGATCTTTATACATCGACTGCATCACTTCAAGGTGTGACACTAGACATTTACAATCTGGGGATGGTTATCACAAAAATAATACAACCAAATAAATGCCAAAACGTTTATTAATTTAAACACTACAGATTATAAATGAGACATAAAATTTTCTAGATTAGTATTAAATCGGTTAAATACTGTGTTAAAAGCAATCTATAATATCACACTTGCAGGGGGTAATGTGGATAAGGTTCGCGACGCGTCACGTGCAGAGTACATAGTGGGAGTTGTGAGTCAACACGGCATACAGCCGTGGTAGGCGAGGCAGTGCGCGTGCGGCGCGCGGGGTGGGCGCGGCTCTGTGGGCGCTATGGGCGCGGGGTGCGCTGTAGGCGCGGGAGGCCTGTCTCAAGGCAGGTCTTCGAGCGCGGTGCGCAGGAAGGCGTCGGGGTCGGGCACGTCTCGCAGCAGTCCGGCGGCGTCACAGAGCTCCCCGAAGGAGGCGCTCGGCAGCAGCTCGTCGGTGAGCGTAGACACGATGCGCTCCGCGGCCTTTGCGTTCGCCTCGTCGTTGTGCCGGATGTACTCCGCCAACTTCACCGGCCATTGCTCCACTGTAGTTGCAGATACGTTCTACAACAAATATATTTATTTATAACTTAATCTGAACAACTTCCAATCATCTCTTGCTACTTAGGAAGATAAATAGCTTGGAATCCTCAATGGTGACTATGTATACGAACCTTAAACATAACCGTATAGAGTAAATCGATGATAGCGAAGAAGATAGCGTATGGTTTGTAGTCAGCCCAGGGTTTGGGAGCGCGGTGTTCGGGCGGCAGCGCGCGCATGGCGGGGCCGGCGGGGGCCACCGCGCGCACATGCGCAGTCACTAGCAGCCGCTTCAGGATCGACACGCGCAGGGATTGCCATCTAAACAATACGTACATGCAAATAAGTGGTTCAATTATAAATAGGTGTCGTTGGAGCGGTATTTTGTAATGTGGCAGTGCACTTACTTAGCGTGTGGGTAGAGCAGCAGCATAAGTGTGGTGTAGTACAGCGGGCCGTCAGCGTCGTGTGCCGCCTCCAGCAGACGCGCCGGCGCCCACGCCAACGACGCCTCCAGTGCGCCCACCTCGCGGGCCGCCGCTCGCGTCCTGCAATATACACGTTTTATATTAAATGTATCAAATAAATTACAAACACTAACTGTTTACGTACAGTAGATGTACGTACGTGTTTCTACGTACACGTGCGTCTCTCATAAACTCTACTTACGTGTTGATGACGTAAAGTGCCATGTGGAGCAGAGCGGGCACGAGCTGCATGTTGGAGAGCGGGCCGCCGCCGCCAGTATCGTCGTGGAAGGTGCGCCCGCGGGCGAACCGCACCAGAAGCAGCTTCAGGTCATGCACGGTACAAGTGTAGCCGATGTCACGGTGACCGGTGCACTCCTGCAAATGAAACCAAGTGGGCAATAGAAATAAATAAAGGTTGTAAAAAGCACAAAGAATAACATTTTATACATCTCTGAACACTTATAACACTTTTTAATCAAGAAGTATACAAATAAATAATATTAATCTGACCTGTAAATATGTGGTATGCCTGGCGAGGCAGCTGGCGAAGGCGGACTCGGGCACGTGCGGTCCCCACAGCGGCAGCAGCCCGTTGCACCGCGTCGACGCGTTCTGTAGCGCCGCGCTCTCCCATTCGTCCCTATTGTGTTAATTTTACATATAGTATACAGTACAACGTACAGGCAAATATTTTGCCCTTTAAACGACAAAATTAAATATAAGAAAAAGCTAATTAAAAAGCTAGCAGAACGCAGTGTGTTACCTGGCGCGGGCGAGGCGCACAGCGGCCATGTGACATTCGACGTGCACAATGTTGTAATGCGAAACGGTAGTGTAGCCGAGCGTCTTGCGCGCGCGCACCTCGAACTCCTCCACCGGACATCGCTTCGTGAATGTGTATATACCGAGCACCTGGTTAACCACAACAAGAGCCCGATTAGTCATTTCTTTGATAGTGTTCTGGTTCTAAACATATGTTTGTTGGTTTTTTCTCCACGTCCTTAATTAAGCAGAGTGGTCACCTTTGTGGGCTGATACTTGTAGCCCTCGCGGCAGATGCAGCAGACGGCGCCGGCTTCCTCTGCGAGGTCTGCCAGCTGCTGCGTGAGCGAGCACTGCGCCGTCACCTGCCCGCGCTCGTTGCTGCGCATGCCCAGCGCGCCCAACTGACGCTCGCGTACCGCCATCGCGAGACGTTTCTTCTCCTAAACAAATAAGATGTGATATTTTAAGAAAACATTAAAATATTCTTATAATCTTCAAATTAAATGTTGTAATTTTTTACTAAGTTTTCTTGCGCCATTTTCATTCACCGGTGTGTCGTTGTGTACAGACCTGTCTTGTGAAGTCGCGAACTTGCTGCACTTTAGCTGCGCACTGCGGCTGCGAGCGCAGCGCCTCCAGCAGATTCTCGGCCAACGAGCCCACGTGCTCACCCGACGACACCTGCTCTAGGCGGTGCACGATTGGGATCACCTTCTCGCACACCAACATCTACATACAAATGAACAAATTAACATTATAATCCGTGTAATATATTCTCAAAATTAATTGACTTTAACACATTTTTGGATATGACATATTGTAAATTATTTATCGCTGACTGTAATAAATCCATATCCTGCCCACAAGCAAAATAGGAGTAGTCTTGGAACTATCTATGAGTAATGTTAGTATTAAAGTGACCTGCGTGGGCTCATGGTCCGCTGCGAGTCCGGTGAGGAAGCGCAGGATGTACTTGAGCGCGGGCCGGCTGATAAACTCCTTCAGCTCGTCAGAGTCCGTGCACACCAGCGTCGGCTTCACGCACGGCGCGTGTTTCTGAAAACAAAACAATATTTAACATTTTGCAAACTCACCAAAAAAGAACATAACAGCTCAAATATTTATGTAGAAATTCTCGTTTAAAAGTTGAAGCAAACCAGGAATTGTAGAGTATCCAAGTCCTGGTTAAAAAACTTTGAATGTTGTTAGACATAGAAACTCACCACAATATATTCCAAGGCATCGCGTACAACACCCAACGAAATGAGATAATCTTTGAGCGTTCCTCCAATAGAGTTCCTCTCAATGTTGGCGCAGAGTACGCAGAACAGCTCCATGCGGAACTCCTCCTCCGTCCACTGCTCCGAGTCCAGTCGGTCGAAGTCCAGCACTGGCTTGAAGTGGTCTACCAGCATTGCCATCTTGAGATCGTTGCCGTACACTAATGCCGCCAACACACGCGTCAGGTGACCCAGTGCCACGGAGTTGTTACGAATACCTAAACATAAATAAAATAATGTACCGTTTTCAATAATATTGTAGACGTATTCATAATATTAGATATCAGATATATTTTTACCTGGACACTCGGTGCAATTGATGAGAGCTTGCACATATTCCGGTCCTCCAAATGTGAGTGAGAACTGCAAAAATGATACCAGACTCTCGCTCGCCGCTACCGATAAAATGCGTTCCATTATCTGTAATAAAATATACTATTAAACTTTCTGACGCAATATAATTATACATAATACTATTAAAGAATTTTTTTCATGAAAGAAACTAAATTTTGTATCAACTGATGTTGGCATGCGTACCTCTAACAGTTGGTATACGAGATGTGCGCGCGGCATATCTTTCTCCTCCTCAGCGGCGAGCTGCAGCGCGCGCAGCAGCACAGGCAACGCCCGAGTGTCGGCGCGCGTCAGCACGCGCACACAGCGCCGCACGCGCGCGCACAACCCCAGCAGTCGTAGCAGTGTCGAGCACAGCGCGCGCGCACCTCCTACGCGCTGAATAGCAGCTAAGCGTTGCAGCATTACTTCCAAGCCACCTGTTGAACGATAATAATTTTAAAAAATTAATCATAAAAATGAATTGTCTTAAGAAAACGTTTATAAACAAGAGATACGCATTTAGGTACTTTCTGAACTGTAACCTACCGCAATCAGCGAGCACATTAGCCATTCGATAAAGCTGTTCGTCGTCGACAGCCTCTGCGTTGGTCTGGCTGAGTGTCTCCACGAACTCCTCGGTAGCGTCGCCCAGCAGCCCGCGCATTCGGTACACAACGCGCATCGCATCCACGCCGTCGCCAGACGTGCACCACACCTGATATAAATATTATATTATTTGCTACACGTTATAAACTTGGAAATTCAAATTCGTATTTCGCTCGTATTTGGCTTGATAATCTGACCATAATAATGTTCGCAGATCTGTTACCTTTTTATAAACATCCTTGACGGGCAAATCTAGGGACATGATCTTGTTGCACACGAGCAGCTCCATGCCGTTGTCATCCTCGAGCAGTGCCACCAGCTCGCAGTCCGTGCAGATCTTGTTCTTAACATCCCGCATTAGTGGACCCATGCCGGGCTCCAGTGATGAATACGGGTTGCCTAACATACGGCCCTGAGAAAAGTGTAGTATGTATTTAGTCACAGTTTGTTGTAACTTTAATTAAATGTTTTATTTAAAACATATTATATTTTACCTGCAAGAAGTCTTCCTGCTGCGGATCCTTCTCCAGCGTGAGGAAGAACTCCCCGACGTCGTTCTCCTCGGGGTAGATGATGGAGCAGAGGCGTTCGAAGATGAAGACGGGCGTGCGGTAGTCGTGCAGCGGGTACTTCTGCACGGTCTCTATGCACACCGCCATGAACTCCGCCGTCTCCGCTTCCGTACCTACAGCAAAGTACCATGTAATAAACTACATTTTTACGTATAAAAATGAATGCAATCTATTAGAATTTATTTTCTTTAATTTTTGTAATTTATTCAATCATTTATTAAAAATGTACATATAACTGGCAGTAAATATTTCACTTGATTCTTTAAAGTCTCGTCTAAACGTCCACCAAAATCTCACTATGTTAGGTAGCCAAGGTTCGAGTCCTAAGGGATTCCATGTACACTAGTATATTAACTCATTTTACCGGTAGTCATTTCCTCGAGAAGTTCAAGCAGTTTCTCCTGTGTATCGTCGGTAAGTCGCGTACGCTGCACGACAAGGCGTCGTAACGAGAGGTATCCGCCTAGCACCGCGCCCACCAACCGTCCCTTGTACACGCGCCGTCCACCGCCCTCCTCCAGGAACATCGACAGCAGCTCCGTCAGACGTTTCAGAGCATAACCTGCAATACCCATAAGGTTTACAGACCCATTCACACAAATAAAGCCTAGTTATGGTAATTCTCATTAAATGCACACACATAAGATGCTTTGGTAAGAATTTACCTTGAGCTAGATCTGATGTTAAAGTAGTTTCCTCCAATCTATGCAGTTGTTCAATCTCCTTGGTCATTAAGTCGGCTATCTGTTGCAGCACACCCCTTAGAGCGAGGAACTGCTTCCACGGGGCTTCGGACGCCAAAGCTAGCAGAAAATGTGATATAATTAAAACTGCTGTACAAATTCGAATAGAGATTTTACGACAGATACTAACTTTGATAAAGTTGTAAGAATTGTTCACTAGCTTCTCCAGCTGTTCCTACTTCAGGCAGGAAACTCGTCAGTAAAATTAGGACCTGCAAAGCAAAATGTATCATTTAAATTTGATTTTTCAAGAGCCGGATATAGTTTTGCAATTAGCTTAAACCAACTTACAGCTTTAGTTCGTTCATATGAGTCGCAAAGAGATTTGACCATAGCGCAGGCGGTGTCGCGGGCGATGCGAGAGCTGGGGTCGAACATCACCGGCCGTAGCCAGCCGCCGTCCTCGAGGGCGAGAGGACGCATGCCGTGTGATAATAATACCTGCAATAAATATATAACTCTTATTTCCTAACATTTATTCTTCATAAGTTAATAGCTAGTCATTAGATAAAGCAACATTTCCTTCGTCACGTGCTTACCCGGTCTCGCCACTTAGCGAGGTATTTCCTAGCGAGATGTACATCTCGCAGTGGCAGCGTGACGTCTGGCGGCAGTGGTGCGACGCGCGCCGACAGTCGTGCCCACTGACGCTGAGCAACACGGCCCGCCAGCCAAGCCGCCAGGTCCACCACTAGCCCGCCAGAAGTTGCCAGCGGAGCAGCTGCCTCAGGCGCAGGCGGTGCAGGCTCCGGCTATGTAATACATTTTATTATGAATATTTCTGTAGTTGTCTTACATAAACTAGTTTAAATAAAAACATTACGGAAAAAACAAAATAGTATGAAAAAGTACCTTAGTTTCCTTATTTTGTTCATCGGTTGGGGCTGTTGCCGCGGCGGGTGCTGCGGGCGCCATCAGTTGCTGCAGATATCCAAGACAGGGCAGAGCAACTTGCTGCAGCGCGAATTGGTGAGCTGGTAAACAAACATCTCTGTTGGTGACGTGCATTCTTACGTGCTCTACAATCTTGTCAGAATCCATCTGATATTGTTATAATTTACGAAAGATGTATGTTTCTCTTATAGTTGTTTTAGTAGTAAAAAGCATTAACTTACATGTAGGTGATGCGCTACTGATGCCCGGGATACCAGATATAGCTTCAGTTTTTAACAAGGAAGTGACCGCTGGTGCGATACCGGCCACTTCAGTCAATTGAGGGCAACACCTGTTGAAGATTGCATTATATTTGTCATGCGAAACTTTAATAATATAGTTCTATTCTATTGGTTATTAATTTAAAAATATTTCATGTAAAAATTAACTTACCACACCCAAAGTTTGACAATACATCGAAGTCTAGCTTCCCAACAGTCCACCGAATCTTGTACCTTGACCAACGATCCGAGTAGTAATACCAATGGACGAACCTGATGAAACGATAGCATTATAATTAACACAGTTTGAAAATTTGAAATGAATTATCGGCTACGTCGCCCTCTTTCGTTTGTTCACTTACAGAGTTGTTGTGATCCTGTGAGGCGGCGTGGCCCATGAGCGAGAGCGTGATGCGCTGCGACAAGAGGTGGCACAACTGCTCGGTGGCGGGTAAGTTGTCGCGCGTCACTAAGCAGATAAGTGCGCGCACCTCCTCTTGACACTACAAAACCCAAACGAAATGAATTAGACTCGAATGGAGTAGAGTAAAAAGGAGTTCTACAGAGATGAATTAATGAGACAGATTTGAGAATGAAATAGAGTGGAGTGGAGCAGAATCGTGTCGGCGTGTACCTGTGGTGTGCCGCGGTGCAGGTTGTGGTGAACGAGCTCGTGCACAACACCGAAGCGGCAGAGGCGCTCGCGGTGCTCCGGTTGCGAGGCCAGTGCGCGCAGCAGCGTCAAGCACTGCTCCGCGCTCGCCAGCGAGCACCCGTAGCATCCACCGCCAGACTCTGCATACATACACATTTATTGTACTCCAACCTAATAAATCTCAAAATAAACTTTAGAAATGCAGTTAAAGTAATTGTTTATACCTTTAGTCATATCTCCATCGTAAGTTTGAACCAATCCGGCGTACACGGGCAATGTTTCTCCCTTTAATTGCTCGCTTTGAGATCTGTCGTAGGTGACTAATTCTTTTCTGTAAAAATAATCATATTTAATAATGTTAAATTACCTGTAAAATAACATAAAAATAGTAGTATTATGTTACTACGCTCACCTGCAGGCGAGCACCTTCTGTATGATCTTGGAGAGATCTTCAAAGTATCCCTTGCTCTCGACGCAGTACTTCTGTGCTACCGTCTGTATGACGCGGTTGATTTGCACGCCGCTGAGCGCCGCGTTGCTGTTCTCATCCGCGCCACGATCCAGCCGGTGCTCGCTGATGCGGTGCAGCAGCGACTGACATCGCAAACACATTTTACATAATTATAATTATCATTTTATATTTATATTACGATGAGTATGTTGAAGATGGGCCTAAACACATAAAGGCGCTTTTATTACAAAAAAATATTTGTCACTAAACAAATAATTTTCAAATTTGTAACTTTATCGCATATAGTTCCGGTTAAACAAATGTTTGTTTATAAAAGTTTTGTGTACCTCTAGCACGGGCTTGTTGGCAACTAATTGTCTGTAGACGCGGTCCGCCTTGTCGAGTAGTGCGCCGATGCTCTGCACCATCTTCTTGCGCTCCTCATCGCTCTCGATGGTATCAACGGCACAGCACGGCTGCGCGGTCAGCGTGTAGTCGAACTTTGCGTACTTGCAGAAACCGCACGCGTGGCATAAGAATGGATCCTTCTCATCGTAGTTTATTGCCCTATCGAAGAAAATAACCTTTATTTATTATACATACATATTTCTGTTATGTAATGTAATGTTTAAAAGTGATGGTTGTGAGTACTGACCGACACTTGTGACACTGGAAGACGTTCTCTCCGCAGTTGGCACATACTCCAGGGTTCGCCGGCACCGACTGCGAGCACCGCGGACATTGTAGCGATTCACCTGCCCAATGAAATTATGTTTATAAAGTATTTTTATATAAAAAAAATAAAAGGTGGATGGAAAATTAATAAAACAATACATACATTAATAGTGCAACACAGTTATATTCTTACCGGTAGCCTGTTGATTTTCATAGAAGTCTGCGTACTCCATCATGAGGTTGCAGGCGACGATGGGCAGGGGGAAGTCAACACGTACTTCAGATTGACCGGATTGCAGCTGTACGCGCTTCGCCTTGTGCCACATTCCTACAAATAGAACATTTTACATTTTTTTTTTTAAATTTTATGCGGACGGAGTCGCGGGCGAAAGCTAGTGTGGTAGTTCGATATGATCTCACCTGGTTTGTTCTTGAGCTCCTGCACGGCCTGTACGGTGCGGTTGTTGTAGTAGAAGTTGATGGCGCGCACCATCTTGCCGCGCTTGATGTCGCTGATGCGCAGGGCGATGCGGCTGATGGTGTGGCTGTTCACCAGCTTCACGATCTGCGTCGTCGTCGTGAACTTCGAGTCCATCTGCAGCCAGTCACGCGGTTAGCTCTTATTTGATATGTGCAAGGACCTCACGCGACGTTTGTAACCATTTGAAGATCGGGTATTGTAGTTATCAATTGGATTATGGATCCAATGTCAGATAAACAGGTTCTTTGTTATTCATATTTATTATTTAATTTCATTATTTAATAAAAAAATCTTTTACCTTTATGGTCTCAATATCCGTAGTGTTAAATATAAGTAGTAAAAACTTTACAAGCTAAACACGAATTACTTTATTACTTATTACTTTTAAAACAAATCCAAATATTATAACTATCGCTACTCATATTGCAAGATTATTTCTACCAATCAGTACAAACATCAAACAACATAAAAATGTACAATTGCTAGGTTACTCTAAAACATACTGGGAAGCCACAACATTCTCATCTATTCCTATTTCCCAAACTTATTTTTTAAATAAAAACATACAAAAATGTTAATTGGTGCACTAAACTACACTACATGGCAATCAACATAGTTGAATATCTGTGGTTGTCTACACATACCTTAATGGTGGGCAGTTTGATGGTGACCATGGGCACCTCGGGGTTGTTGCACACGAGGCAAGGCTCCGACTCCAGGTAGTAGCCGTCCAGCTCCACGTACGTGCCGAGGGCCGCGTACAGCGCTGCATTGCCGTGGGACGAGAGCAACTCGTTCTGACGACGTAGAAGTTCCACCGCACTGCGCAGGTACTTCTGAACATACAAACGAATATGTTAAAAAATAATATAGTATTTGTTTTATAGATAAGAATGTAAGGGACGACTATAAATCGAGTTCTGGGATGATATGGGTAGTCTGTGAACATACCTCAGTCTCAATGTTGGGCGTCTTAAGTGTAAAGTATCCGAGTAGGTCGACAAACTGCGCCGACTTGCGCCCGTACTGCGGCAGCGTGGGCCACAGCGCCCACAGTAACGACACTATCGACGCTTGCTCTGTTTGTGGCGAGTTGCTAAACAAAACGCAAATATTACCATGAAGTTTGAAAATAAATTACGACGACTCTTTTAAAACCAATAAAAGGGACTTACTTGTAAATAGCCAGAAGTAGCGCGTGGGCTTGCCAACGAACTGCTGTTGAATTCGTTTCGAGTAGGAAAGCTTTGACGAACATTCTCAATTCATCATGATTCACCTTTAAACAAATATGATATTGTAGTCGCATAAAAAATAACTTAAAATAATATATAATCATACTGTCCTTTTTGTTTTTACCTGTTTTATTATTTGTTGGACCAGTATCGGCACCTTCTGCTCCTGAAATTTGGAGCCATCGGATACAAAGGCATCGCTATCTGCGCTGCGCTCTCGTTCTGGCCAGTCCGCGGATGGCTAAAGACACAATCGACTTGAATTAAAATCACTTTAACGCATATTTGCTACGTTGAAATGTGTATGTGCGAATAGACAGAGTAGTAGTAAGTAGGTACAGGGGCAACGATCGTACCTTGGTTTCGTGTGGCGGCAGGGGCGGGGTAAGGGAGTGCGTGGGGGCGGGTGCAGGCGTGGGTAGGCAGAGCGCGGCCTGCAGCAGCTGCAGTACGGTGGGCGCGACGTGCGGGTGCACGCGCCGCGCCACCGTCAGTAACCACGGCAGCGCGCTGCGCCGCTCTGTCGCACACGTGTGCTGCCAGTTGCCGGTACGCGCACTCACTATCTCCGCACACGCCTGAAACCATGGAAATATTCTTAATACTCAACATACAAGAATTTTTGGCTTAATTATTTGTATGTGATTGGTGAAATAAGGGGTACCTTAAGATGATCCATGAGCTGCACGAGCTTGTCGTACGCGGGGTCGGGCGCGGCGAGCAGCGCACGCGCAGCGTTCAGGTGCGTGTCGAGCGCGTGTACATCACGCAGCTGACGGTAGCGCTCGCGCGTGCCGCATAGCAGCAGTAACAGCTTGCGTACTTGTTTCCTATAGTATATATATTTTTAATATCGTGCACAAATAAATATATCCTAACAAAACATTTGAGTGAGGCGAACCTCAGTGGCGTCTGTGGGTTCATCATGTACTCGCAGAGCAGCGTACGCCAGCGCGTGTCGAAGTTGGCGGGGTCGCAGTGCTTGTGGATCTGACACGGAAGTCGCAGCGCCATTTCCATCAGCAGTTGCGGGTAGTTGTCAAACACGTCTAGCGCATGGCCTGGGACAAACGTAAGTAAAGATCAAATGTCAATTTTGATGGAAAATTCGATATTAATTAGACCGTTTCCTTGTAACTACGATGACTTACTTTTGACGTATTCCTTTACAAAGAAGGGCTGCATATCGGGCAATGGTTGAGGTGGTTGTGGTTTCAGTAGCTGTTGTCCAGGTGTTGCCGTACCGGTGGCTATACAAAAAAGACTGGATTAACAAAACGAATTTAAATACAAGACGTTATTATATTTATTTATACGTACTGGTTGTTTTCTCCTTCCAGTAAGGCAGCAGTGCAGCCAGCACGTTGTAGCAGTGTCGGGGCGCACCGGCGCGTACTAACGCCGCGGCTGTGAGGCGTGATACGTGTGCGGCCGCAGCGGCGCCCGTCACTTCTGCGCGCGCATTCGCACTACCCCCAACCGACGCGCCCGCACCCGCGCCGCACGTTTTCCACCGTGCCATAAGCACACCTGCACAAAGAGTTACTATATTAACAACAGCTAAAAATCTGTAATCCTGCAATGGTTAATACTTAAATATCAGTTGAATCTACTATTACGTAGCTCGGTACTAACTCAGTAGCCGCATAATAACGAGCTGCAGCTCTCGTCGGTTTGTGCGCTCGTGCACAGGCGGTGCATTCTCCGGCGCCTCCAGCTCCGATACAAGCTGTTCAAGTCGATTGATGGCAAGCTGCAGCTCGCGCCGCTCCCCGCGCTCTCCCACTTCCTCGTTCTGGATGTCCAGCTCTGAGACTAGCAAGTCGAGTAGTCGATCTAGTACTACCCGGTCACCTTCAACGGTAGAGTCTAGGTCACCTGCTAACATTAGAACAACCTGAAAACAAAACGACCAGATATTTAGAATGACATTGAAAGAAACTAAGTAACTTTAGATACGTGTTTTTTCGACACCTCAGTTGTGGGATTTGTGTTATTATGAATATAGTTAAAAAAGTGTGACCTGTACGAATGGTATAGCCCGTACGCCGGGCAGCGTGCGCAGCGTAGGCAAAGTATCGAGTGCGGCGGTGAGCAGTGACAGACGCAGCGCGTGCAACTTGCGCGCTTCGCTTTCCGCCTCCGCCGTGCGCGATGACGACGCCACTGGCTGCGCGCTCGACGTCGATGGACCTGCTGAGACACACAGACAATCAAACATTTATTAATTTTGTTCATCTTTGGACTCATCAAAAAGTGTTAAATGACAATACATTACACAAGCGCTACGGTGAATAAATAACTAAATGACATAGAAGGTGACATGATGTTTGAAATGATTTCTAGGTTACGACCATCTAAAATCGTATACTAGCCTGGCATAGCCACGGGGGCGGCGATGATAGCATTTGCGGCCATGGTGCCCGTAGTTGGAACAGACACCATTTCGCCTAAAACATTTCGCTTATTCAAAATTTCTACAACGAAATTCCACAAAACCGTAAATAAATAAAAAGACTTTTTAACATATTCGTGAACATAACACACAGAAGTTTAATGTTAGGAAAATATTTACCATAGGCGCTGGAGCGTCCGGAAACGCCGCCGATACTGTCGGCGCCAGAGCCGCCGCTATCGGAAGCAGAAGCGGCAGAGGCGGCCGAGCCCGCGGAGCCTGGCGGTTCGGCGGGGGACGTGCGCAGCGTGCTGCCGTCTGTCGCCGCAGTGCTGCCCTCGTCGTCAGATCTATAAGCACAGCTTAAATGTTACAATAACAATATCAAGAAGACGCAGCATTTAGATCGACAGAGAAGGTGATGTATAGAAAAATAACATTAGATAAATAATTCCGTTCAAAGACAACGTTACGTACCCTGTGGGCGATGCGGCGACGTCGCTGAAGCCGGGGGCGGGCGGGGGAGGCGCGGAGGGGGCAGGCGGCGCGCGGCGCGGTTGCTCCTGCAGCGATAGCGCAATGGCCAGCTGCACCATCGTCTCGTCGTCCGCGTCCGCTGGGATGTCCAGCAGCGCCTCTAAACCTAAAACAATAACACACTAAATTACAACCAGTCACTATGAAAATATTCTTAAATTTATCAAACTGCGTTATGTATGTGTTATAAACATGTATATTGAACGAGTACTACTACCTCCATCGGGCGCGAGCAGTACCATCGGTTCAAGCGCGTCATCGACATCCATGAACTGGTTCTCCTGCTGGTCGTCGCGCGCTGTGCTCACGTCAGATTCCGAGGCAGCAGCCTCTGCAGTCGAGCTGGCCGCCGGAGCTGTTGTCACAGAGGATCCAGCACCTAAATATAAATCAATACACATAAGAAAAAATAATAAAGCGAATAAATTTGTCACATACGGAATTCGTAACATCTATCAATCTCTATCTTACATTTTGACTGTACTTTTGAAGGCAACAGATGGACGACAATTCCATACATGGTGGTTACATTGCTTTTTATGGTAGTTTGTCTATCAATCACTTGTTGTTTACTTAATTTCATTGTAAAATGTTACCTGGTGTATTAGGCGGTGAAGGTATGTACACACGCCGTCTCTTGATTCGAGGTCGCAGCACTCTCATAAGAGCAGCCTTAGTGCCAAAGCTTATAATTTGATCTTCCGCTAGCAGCAGCGCCAGATAGATTTGATTTCCAAAATCGATCTAAAAACATCGCAATAAATTATTTTTTAAATACAATAAACTAAAATTAAAGTACACGGAATAGTAGTACAGGATACTGACTGCGTCATTGTCCGCGTGCAGTTGGAATGCGTGTAGTATATCAGCAAGGGCGTGCAGCGTGTGATCGGCGTGGCGCAGGCCATGGGCCAGCACGCCGCCAGGGCCGGGCGGCGCACGCACGCTCGCCAGCCGCCACAGCACGCTGCACAGCATCGCGCACAGGTGTGGCGTTCCACTCTCGCCCTTATTCTCTGTATAATCACCCTTCCATAGCGCAGCCCAATCGCCTGAGAAAAACGTTATTTTTATTAAGAAACGTTTTGTAAGGTCGTCGACTACATTCTTATTTAAAAAAAACTTACCACTTTCTGGTTTGCGGGGTGTGGAGGGAGTGAACTTGACAAGATGCTGCGGCCGGGCGACGGCCACGCCGCGGGCTAGCAAAACGAGCCGGAAGTACGCTTCAGGGTCGATGTTACGTGCGTCTGCAGTATCGCGCAGGTCGGAGAGCGCAGTGCAAACGTACTTCAGTATCGCTTGGTCCTAGAAATTCAGTAGTAAATAATTTAACGTCTTTCATTACTTTAGAGGTACTGAACCAGGCAGTTTCTTATTGTTTATTGTGAATAAAATTTTACTTACTTTGAATTGGTGGTATTGTGACTGATAGATAGCTCTCAACAGACATTGTGCTCGTGCATGCAAGTGCGCGGAGGCGGGTGCGCAGAGCAGCTTCCTGGCGGCCTCTGCGCCGGCCTCCGCGCCTGCCTCGCTGCTAGCGGCGGCTGCGGCGACAGCCGGCGCGCCCGCTGCCAGCTCGAGGGTCTCCAGCGCTGCGCAGGCCAGACGCTCGAGCGAGCTCGGCTTCCAGATACCATTCATGGCATCGCCCTCCTGCACAAATAAACATTTATATTATATCACATATTATTTATTTTAATTAAAAAACAAGAAAAATACAATTAAAAAGTCTTACCTGAGCAATCTTACTTGTTGATGGACAAGCTGATGCATCTTCGTTTTCTTCGGGCCAACCGAATTGTTCTTTATTTTTACCATAAACCTAAAAAAAAATCATATTAGATTTAAACATCACACCTTGCACGAAGAAAAACAATGAAGTGTACAATTTGTTGAAGATTTTACCTTAACAGAGTCGACCATGGTGACACCATCGGGATCTTGTGATGGACCAAAGTTGATAATAAGTTTCTTATCCGACTGCAAGGATTCTTCGCGGGTTAGAGGAATATCGAACCATCGGTTTCGTACAACCACTGTAGAGATCGTTCTGCCATATACCTGTACACAATTTTATTTTTGAATTGCATATAATTTTTTTTTTTAAATTAGATCTCGCCTTATATGAAAATTAAATAGTACCTCGACATAAGACGGTGTCCGGGCGACGTCCTGAGTGCCTAGCAACACTCTGATGCCGCAAATGACCATGTTAGGATCCGAGTTGATCACTTCCATTGAGAATCCACTCATTTTAGTAGATACAACGTAGAGACCTATATAATTAATAAATAAAATTAAAAGTGAAACCATTGGAAATTATTTTTACAATTATATGGCTCTTGGGTTTTTAATCATTATGTTAAAAAAAAATACTTACTGGTAGTGTTGAGGCGATTCTTTATTTGTGCCGTATTATAAACTTGCAGTAGATCGTTTCCGCCAAACTCGATATCTGTCATCGCGACGCAGTGTTCGAAGAAATCGATCGGGAACTGAGGACCGCCGTTCGTATTCGACTTCGCAGTAGCCTAAATTACCAGAATAAAATAAACATTAATAAACGCAAAAGTAATTGTTTTTTTTTTAAATCAACAGTTCAAATATTGCTACTAATAACCTGTTGCGACTTGTTCTTGTTGTGAGCTATGGCACGAGGGCGGCGACGCGGCGCGTGTGTGGGTTGTATGGCGGGCGAGAGCCAGTAGCCGGTGTGCTCCGCGCTGGCCGCGTACATGCGCAGGCTGCCATCCTCACACAGCAGGATGAGCGTGCTCTTCTGCTCGCCACCACCGCCGCCGCCGCACCAATGACGCACCGCCACCATGTCTGTTATCTTCGCTTTTGCTGGTACCACCTGGGTATAACATAGTATAGTTATAACTCCTTGTGTAGTTGGAGATTAATAAAAAGAAAAAACGGAATTTTGGTAAGAACAAAGTCTTGTTACTTTTAGACGCACCTTAATTTCTTGCACGTAAATAGTGGTTGGTGTAAGCATGAGCACGACGGGGTTGTTTGATGCCTGCATGACTGCGGTGACGAGGCCCGGGTGGCCGGGCACCTCGGCCCACTGGCACAGTGACTGGACGCCGCTCTGCTTGCCGCTGCGTCCGCCACCCTCCTTCTGAGTCGCCGTCGTCGACAGCGTTATCATTGCCGTGCCTACAAAAATGACACATTAATTCAGTAATTTGGCTTGATTGACAAACATAAGTTAAATAAATAATAATTATAACATCATTTTTTCAATTACTCACGTTTGACACTTTCTTCTACCGTGTTGAGAGGAGCGAGGAAGCTCTTTCCTTGCGCGTACGAAAAGAACAACATCTTGAGTGTGTGAGAGTAGTAAATCGAAACACCTCCACCACCAACTAATCCTGCTACATCCTGTGTAATAAAACAAACAATTGCATCATCGTGTACTTGTTATTTGGTCAAAACTTTGCTTAATGTCATAACGTTATTAAACTTACCTGTATTTCAGGATGAAGCACTTCAAGTGTGTTTGTGACGTAGAATGTGCCTAGCGTGGCGCGCGACTCCTCGCTCATCGGTTGCCAATAGATATGTCCAGCGGAGCTCATACACAGCATGTGCATTACGTCTTCTTGGTTAACAAAAGTTACATCTCGCACCTGTAATATAGTCGTGTCAAATTTCAAAACAAAAGAAAAATAAATAAAATAACAGATTTATAATACTTAATTAAAATATTTACCTTTCCACTTGGCACTAAGAAATGGTGCATTGGATTGTTTAGGTCCTTGCTGAGATCGAAGATTTTAACGAAATCGGATGTCACAAGTGCAAGTTGCGTCTGTGATCCTGGCAGCCAAATAGCCTTGATTACGTAGTTATTTCCTTCTAAGCCCGTATTCAATACTAGGTGATCGGCTACGGCACCTAGAAAAAAATATATAGAATGTACTAACTTGAGCATGACATATACAACTTTTACTATCAATATTATATGATGTTTTCTATTTGGATATATTATAATTGTATTCCAACTTTTATAGAACTACCTCCGCTGTTGAACGTAAGCACGTGGCACTCCTTGAGGCCACACACGGCGAGCAGGTCCTCGTTCCAGGCGTTGCCACTCAGACTGAGGACGGTGAATGGTATAGGTGCCGATGACAACCGTGTCAGCGTCAGCTTATGTTTTGATGAATCCGCTTGCTTTAGCAGCGCAGACAATTGCAAGACGGTGATTTTTCCTGTCAGCAAAATATCAGGATTAAAAAAATCTGTAACTCCTTATGTATAATAATTATTTTTCTTCACATGTCACATGGATTTCATAGATTACATAGCTCTATGTATACCTTTTTCATGGGAGACGGCGAGGTGCTGTCGACGGCCGTGAGGTGAGGCGAGGCAGCACATGGCCACGCGGCGTAGCTTGTGCGCCGACATCAGCTGCCGGATCGTTTGACCGTTCTCGCCCGTGTACGTCATGCGGACATTCTCGAACGCGCCTTCTTGAGATCCTGTAAATTATTTATGATGGTTTACTGTTGGTCTTATTGTAGTAGATAGATATGTCGATAGATATATTAATTTTAAATTTACAATACAGATTAGAAAAGTAGCAGAAAACTTCATAATATGATACGAGTTTATTGTAAAATTACTAAACTTTATTAAAATGTATGATTTACCTAGCGTAGGCAGCATCAGAGTGTCGGTGTGTACGAAGCGCTTGACGCCGAGGTGCAACTGAGCGAGCGCGCGCTGCGCTCGGCCATGCGCACCCACCGCCGCGCCGCGCTCGCATGCTGCGCGCACCGGTCCCGCCAGCACGCCTAGTAACTTCTTTACGCGCTCCATGCAGGCGCCCCACGCACCATACGACACCAAGTATGAACGACAACCTGTAACATTATAACGCTTGGATAAATTCATCGAGGGGCAGACTTTAAAGAGATTATAATGTATGTATTATTTTTGATTATATTCACTAGTTAATTTTTTTAGAAGACTTGTGCTCGAAAGAGGTACCTTGTATATTGGCGGCGATTGCTGGGCGGCGGGAGGGAGCGAGGTAGGCGGGCGGAGTAGGGCTTGAGGGCAGACGGCGCAGCGATGAAGCTGGCGGACTGTCGTCGGACCGACCGCCTAGCGTCACTGAGCGCTTCACCAGCGCTTGACAACTGTACAATAACTCATAATTAAGTTTTCTTCGCATTCAAATAAAAAGAACCAAGAAAATGTGTGTTAACAATACATGTAAAAACACTGACCTTGAATCAGGCTTGGCACCACAATCGCAGAAGAAGTTGCCGAACTTGGCGTAGGAGACGTCGTGTCCGCGGTGACAGACGCGCGCGCACACGGTGCACACACCCACACCATCCACCATCTTGCAGGTGTGGCAGTGATACCAGTGCTGGTTCATGAACTCGCGCTGCGTCACCGTGAACGTGCACAGCTTGTACTGCAACATCGCGTCTTCGTCCTGTACCGTCGCTTATTTTATTTATCAACAAAAACAACATCCATGAATCCTTCGACTAATATGGATGATGATGGTTTTGTTGGAATAAAAAGTATATTATTATAATTTTATTCGACTCTAGTGAATTTTTGCTTTAAAACGAAGTTTAATGGATAAAAATAAATATATAAAATAATTTAAAGACGGACAGACGAATTATGTACACAATGTACATAATTCGTCTGTACATGCATAAATTTCTTCTCAATGTTAGAATTAAATGAAGATGCTTCATGACAATGATATCGTTAAATGTTTACCTGCACGAATGATGTGTTATGTAGAAGCAACACTTACTGAATCGTCGGCACTGGTATCTTCCTCATCGTTTTGATCGTCGGGATATTCCAAATCGAAACCAACGTCATAGGGAGATTCCCACGAAGGGCTTACAGAACGCCATGCTACAAAAAGAAATGTTTTATAGAGCACATTAACTTCAGTTAAATAATGAAAATAACAATCAAAGGTGAACGTCAAAACTTTTATTACCTTGTGGTGGCGACGTGTTAATAGCATGAAGAGCATCCGAGAGGTACGATAACAAAACGCACGCAGACTCAATCTGAGAAGCGACGGCGCCCTCGATCTGTCCTTCTTCCAACTTCTCCAGTACATCGGGACTGCTAAGGTTGTCGACGCTGTAAAATAAATAAAAGTATTGTACATTTCTTTACGCCGAGTAGTCTGTTCTTTATAAATTCAGATTGTACAGGAAAGTTTTTATTTATTATTTATGTCCGAACGAACAATACTACTAGTTTAGTACTAACCATGCTGCGAGCCAGCCGACAGCGGCGGGGAAGAGCAGGCGGTGGTCGGCACCGGCGTGTGCGTCCGCCAGCCGACACAGCTCGCGCAGCAGCACGGGAGCGCACCCTTCACCGCACACGCTCACTAACGCGCACAGCACGCGCTCGCTCACCTCCTCGCTACTGTTAATAACCAGTTATCTTTATTATCATTGTTTCACACTAAGACATATTTTAATATTAAGTGATTAGTGAATACTTAAAGGCCAAGTCAAACGTATAAAATGATAAAAAAAGAGAAATAAATGTTCTGACCAATGTGTGACGATGTGTTTGCAGAGCGCGGAGAGTAGCGTGGCATTGTCGTTGGCGGCATCGGCGAGCTGCGCCGGTGCGGCCTCGGCAACTGCGGCGCCCGCGCTGTCCTTGCTGCCATCTGACCAGCTGCAGCTTTCTGTTACATATTGCAGTTCATTACGACATATGCACTTACATCTTAGTTAAAAATAACATTGTGTGAGGGTTATTAACTATTATACTGGTGTGTTAAAGACAAACTACCTGAGTTTGCTGATTGTTGAGCTGTGTCTGACTGAGCCCTCGGTGCTGGAGATCTGTAAGAATTGAATTATTAACTAAACATAATTATAAGACGAAATGAATACAAATCTTTTTTTTTTAACTATTCCGCTGTCAATAATAAATTAACGGTCTCTGTTGAAATTAGAACACATACGGTGTATCAAAGACTGGCAGGTCTGTGTCACTGCGCTGCGCGGGTTCACTGTCTGCGCGGAACACGCTGCGCAGTGCGTTGCGGAACGCCAGTGAGGCGGGGTTACCGTCCGGCGCGCTCGACGTGGGCGTGGCCAGCTCCGCCTCTGTGGGCGTACCATTAGCCGTGCCCGACGTGCCGTTTGATGTTGATGAACCTGTTCAAACGTTTATATTAATATACATGCATTAATAGTGGTGTAAACAAAACTATTACTGAAAGAAGTTTCTGTTTTCAACTTCTTAACTTCAGTACAAAATACAAAGCTATTTACGTACCAGTTGTCGTCAAACAAATGTGTGATAACAAGTTAGCCAACTTCTGTTGATCGGCCATGCCAATAGACTTGCACACGGACACGCAAAGAGTAGGGTTCAGTTCAGATTTGTCGCAACATGTGAATATCTTGATAAATAACCTGCAAAAGAGAAATATTAAAAACGTACTAAATTTTGGTACAAAACCTAATCATAGAACAGGATTTCATTACTTACTTGATAACTCTTTCAGTATACGGGCTCCTAGCATTGGGAGCGGTCAATAGTATTTTGCCGAGACTGTATTCATTATCGTCGCTAAAAACTGCTTCATACGCTTTGCGTCCGGCCAATCGTTCTAAGATTTTCTCCCAGTATTTGACCTGAAAGTAGCAAATCATTTTTTTAATAAAAGACATTTATATCTGTATTTTCTAATTATTTAACAAGTTAACAGTTTTACCATATAACGTAGTGTCTTTTCTGTGGAAGACTGCAAGTGCTCCACCAGTACAGTGTATGTGGTCTTCAAAAAGTGTTCGTGCCTCAGTTGCTCTGCGGTTAGAGTTTGCGGCACCAAAGTGTTTAGGGTCGCTCTTAGCGGCTCCGTTAAGAACTCTAGTCTTCCATCGGCCTGTTAAGAAAAAGTTTAATTACACTGAGAAAAGATTAACCAAGTAGTAACGTTAGGGCTCGCTTGAACATTTTCCCCATTTTTTTATCTTATAGATACTTGAGTTCTATTTCCAAATATCAAGAAGGTAAGAGTATCTTACCAAAGCCGGTATGATCAAATCGATGGCCTTCTTGGACAGGGCGGCGTTATCCGCGAGCTTGGGCGCGCCGAAGTCAAGTAGCTTGGCGGCAGAGTAGGCAAGCATCATGAGCGACGTGCCAATGGAGTACTTGCTGCTGCCGCTGATCAGCTCGCAGTGCGACGACACCAGGTTCAACACCGCACTCTCGGATGGGATTATGTGCGACGCATAGAAAGCCTGACAATTAAAAAATATGTAAATTAATACCTTCTTTGTATATTCGATATCTATCATAGTTCTTTGCTAGATCTAAGTAAGAGGGTTGCATATTTCAATTTACATACCAGATTAAGGCATGTGAGTGGCGGTGGTGTGGCAAGCCGCTCCAATATGGCGACGGTGGCGGGCGGCAGATGTGGGCGGAGCCAGGCGCAGAGCGCGGGCGCGCCCTCTGTGGCGGCAGTTGGTCCACCGGCGCAGCACACCGCCAGTCGTGCCGCGTTTACTGCGCGCTCTGATGAGTCGTTAGCTGCTTCCAATACGTTCTCTAATTCAGCTCCTGCGCTTAGCCTACAAACACCAACAATAGAGTCTAAGTGTCTGCATAAGTCATTTCATGAATGGTAGAAGAACGCTAATAAAAAATGAAGAAAATCATCAGAAGTACCAATTTAGACAATTTTATAGAAACGTTTTAAATCGATATGTTCTGAAAATAAAAAGTAAGTAAGTAAACTCACCGGCAGCAATCTAAAATAGTGTCCAGTAGGTCCAAAAGGTTTGGCATAAACTGGTGCGCCTCCGCAGCGGACGTGGTGTCAGCCAGGCATACTTTGAGCCTTACGAGCGCAGCATCACACGATATTACGTCGAGAAGAGATGGTAAACCACTCGCTGCAAGTACAATTTTAATGCAAAACATTGTTTTATTTTTTTATAAAGTATTTAAAAAAGTAAAACAATATTTTGCAAAAGTATTGAATACTAGTGAGTACTTACATGTGATATTTTGTTTCAAATGTTTGATAGTTTCCGAGGCGAGCCAAGCGGTGTACTTTATATTATCGCACGATGCACTAACACCGGCTAACAAATTTTCTGCATACTGAAATAGAAACAATAAATTTAATTTTGAACATTACAAATTAACATTAATTTTTCAAAATTTCAAAACAGTCAAGATATTGTGACTATGGCAGATGGTCTTCAAAATTAACTTGAATTAAACGAAACGAACCTGTGTGTACATTCCTTGTTTGACGAGGGCGTCTTTAAGCCAGGGGTTGAAGACCTTCTTGTTATCAGCGCGCGGAGCCCAAATGACAGCGTGCAGGGGCAGCGGGGAAGGTAGCTCCGCCTTGGTACCTGCCTGCAGCTTATCCATGTGGGGCGTTGCTGGGGGCATGCTGATCACCAATCTGTTAAAATGTAAAAAAAAGTTGTATAAATTTAATAAAATCAAATAAGGGTTTATTTCAAATAAATGCTACTAACTATGGAGGTTACGAATTACTTTTTTTTTGTTTGTAATTGTTACGAATATGTTAGAAGGAAGTTATCAAGGATATGAGGAAAATATGATACGAATCATACCTCCATGCAGTCTGGAAGCAATAGTGGGCGGCAGCGAGCGCGGCGGGTGCGGCGCGGTGCTGCGGGTTGTCACAGACGCAAGCGGCGTTCAGTAAAGCCAGTAGTGCATCTAGCAGCAGCGGATACTTCAGCTTGTGCGGTGTACCCAGCACGAAGTTGCATGCCAAGCCGTCGAATTTCGGATTTTCCTAAAAATACCACAATAAATGTTATAACTTTTCAAAAAAATTCCTCTCATGGGTGTCATGCAGATAAAGATAATCATTACTAATGTGTGTTTTAAAATTTGCTTTCTAATTATTTTGTTTACGTATTTAAAAAAATCTAAAAGATACCTGATTATTGATCTCAGCGCTGGTCAAAGCGTAGAACTTTGGCCTCATGGAGGATTCGTCCTGCGAGTAGCATCTGTACGCTGCCTCTATGTAGGGCACCTCGCAGTATATCCGAGACTTAATTTGACCGTTGTCCGTAGTAGTCTTGGCACCGTTAGTTGACGACTCAGCGGTCGGCTCGGCGAGGCCGGGTGCTATTACAAGGTTCCATTCAATCTAAAAACCAAATAAAACAATGAAAACTCGATCGCATTATAACAATTAACTATGGCTTTTGGATGCTTCTCTAGTGTTAAAGGTAAATTTCCATGCCTTGTAGTCTAATTCCTAAATATTTATTACCTGTTGCAGCAATGTTTGTGGCGCATCGTACAGATGTCGCATCAGATACTCGAGAAGCAGCATTAGACGAGTGGTCAGCATGAGCTGGTGCGGCGCCAACGACATCGCTCGCTTTCTGTCGCTTATTGCCAATGTCTCCACAACCTAGAAGAGTCACAACACATGAGAGAGATATATTCGGAGTGAGATGGGAAATATCCACTTCTGCATGCAATGAGAATATAACGAACAAATTTTTAAATAAATATTTTCCAACGCCTTAACATTTAATGACGGTTTACTACTTACTTTTATAATAGCATTGGAAGTCATAAGTAGAACAGATTTCTTCTGCATCAATGTCAATGAGTGGAAAAGGTAGACCAATAGTTGGGCATGTTCAACATTCAAATCTGAAAATAATAAATTTTAATAAGTAAATACAATGGTTAAGTACGTTAATAAAAACGAATATAGAAATAAAAACATGTATGTCACATAATTAGTTTTCAATTTAAATGTAAGTAAACTTATGTAAATTGTACATATTACGTGTGTCTTACCTTCGTAATCATGGTCCTGCGAGGGCTGAGACTGCAGCGCGCACTCCTGTAGCGTGTTGACTATCTTGTGCCACATTACCAGGATGCTGTTCTCGCGCTCCGCCGCTGACTTGCTCAGGATCATACTACCCAGAAGTTTTACCACGCGAGGACCAACCTATACAATGTGACAACCATTGAAACATTTAACATACATATCACAAAGTTTTTTGGATTAATATTTTATTGGTTGTAGAAGTACAGACTCGGCTTGGTGTGCCGGTTAATCTTTCTACCATGTGTACCTGTAGTGGTGTTATGTTGGCGCGCTCTGCGCCTGCGCCTGCAGCGGCGAGCTGCTGGTGCAGTGCGGGCTGTAGCGCGGCAAACGTTGGAGCACCGCTCAGGTTGTGCAGGTAGCGGACCAGCGCCGCGCTGAACGATGCGTATAAACCGCCCAGCCGCGTACCGAAGCACGATGATATGGTACCTGCACACACATTTATGTACCTTTAAGACAGTGGCTTCCACTTTTAGGACAGAAAATAAAACTATAGTACCTAACCCATAGAAAACGACCCAACTCTTTCAATTGTCTCGCCTTTTGATAAATAGTCTTAACCTCTAGTGTATTTCCAGCATTTCACAATAGTCTTGAGAGCCATAGTATCAATTTGACACATGTTTTATTGGTATATGAGCGTTTGTAAGTACCTGTGTCGGTGCGAGCGGTCTCCCTGTCAAGGTCCTTAGCGAGCGCGGCGAGCAGCGCTTGATGCGCCTCGTGGAGCTGCAGCGCTCCGCTGCCCAACCTCTCCGCGCCCTCGCTCATCATCTCTGCGTTCAACAAAGTGAACACCTCCGTCGCTAGTGTTATGTACTGCAACAAATATAAAAAAAATATATAACGTTGCGCTTCGATAGAGTCTAGACAGTTGCAGATCGTACATACGGGAGGGTGAATAGATAGAGGCTTGCCTCACCGATAGTCACCTTGTGTAACTACTCGTCTAGAAACTGTTATAGAGAGCCTTGTAGAATCAACGTATCAGAGTAGCTTCGTGGTTAGGGATGATAGTGTGAGTGAATGAAACATCCAAACAAATTAAAGTTAAGTACATAGCAAATTGCCAGATGCAAATGACTCGCTAACACTAACCGAGTATGGCTCGGACTTGTCGGGCACGATGTTATGTGGGCGCGCCGGCACGTCAACATTGTCGTTGGCGTCGGCGCCGGGTCGCGCCGCCGCCTCCGCCGCATCAGGCGCCACCAGAGTCGACTCGAACCACAACCCGAACAGCGGCTCGCTGTCTTCTAACACAAAACATCCCAATATTAACATGAAACATAGCAAACGAAATTAATACCTTAAAATTTTAGACAAAGAAAATTATACCGTCATCAGTTTCTGAGTCTTCGGAGCAGAGAATCATGTCTTGAAAGTACACAGTAGAGTCAGAGCGGTCGGGATCGGCATCCTGATGCTGCTTCTGCACTACGGCGCGCTTCAGGTTAGTCGCCTTGCGGTAGCACACCACGCCTAGCGCTACGAACAACTAAGGACAAACAATTTCCATTATTCAATTGTTAATTTAAATGCTTACATACATTTAATACAAGCAAGTAGCAGTAGAATTTCAAGAAGCTAAATTCTCTCAAACATATCATAACTAGAACACAATAGAACATACCTGGTGCAATGGTGCAGCGTGCGCGAGTCGCAGCTCCCGCTCATGCGCCGAGTGATGGTCCAGTATATGCAGGGGTGCGGGACCCGCGGTGCCGCCCTCAGGCCCGCCCAGCGCCTCCAGCCGCGCGTCGCATAGCAGCGCCCCAGTCCACGCCAGGCAGCGACCGCCCAGCGCCACCCACACCACGCCTAGACCTTGTTGCCTGCACCATATAAAAAGTCATTTACATTATATTACAAACACATATACCACATGTTTTCAACTGATAGTTATAAGGGACTCACATTTTGGTAAGATTGTAAGGTCTGGAAGGTGTTTTAGCGGGGCTCTTGCCGGGTGCAGTGGTGGGGCATGGCGCGCCGGCGAGCGCATGGTGGAGTCCGCACAGCAGAACCCACGCGCCGATCATTAGATGGTTTTGATATACCTGGAAAATCGCATAATTAATATATTTTTTTTTTATATCATAAGGTGGCAAACGAGCGAGCGGCCACCTGAAATCGCTGATATAGCGAAGTGACCGTTGCCCATAGACATAGGCAATTGCATATGCGTTGCCCACCTTTAATCGACGGAGGAGAGGATGCACATAAAGAAAATATATTCCCTTTCCATGCATCCTCTCATCCGGAAAGTCCACTTCCACTTCCCATCCTTTCCTTATAAGAAAAAGGGTGGGAAGGGGAAGAGGACTGAATAAGGCCTTCGGTACGCACACTCATCAGACGAAACGCGGAATTGCTTCCACTTGACGCCTGTCTTCTGTGTGGTCGTGGTATTTCACCGGGCGAGCCAGGCCGATTCGTGCGAAGATGTTAAAGCGGGCTCTACCACTGTTAATAGTATGTTATGTACTACAACTATTAAAAAGGAAGAGTGTTTCAGCAGCAGATTATCTCGTTTAAAGCCCAATGTATATAAGTTACAAGCGATGAGGTACTCACATATCCGCCGGCGCGTGTCGACTGCCGGAACGTATCGCCAACCGTGTTGTAGAGGCTGAGCGCGCTCTCCACCAGTGTCGCTGTCTGCTGCTCGCTTTCTTCATCCTTAGGGTGCAGGGACGCCTGCAGCATATACATATAATATACATATTAACACCCAGAAACATATTTTATTTTATTGAGAGCAGATATTACCTGAGCGGTGGCGCACAGCAGCCAAGCAGTGGCGACGTCACTGAGGGTAGCAATGCGGTCCGGAGTGAACGGCTCCAAGCAGGGTAGTGATAATGCCAGACGACATACATTCACTTCATTCACCAGAAAATGTAGACTGCAAAATACAACATTAATTTAATCACTGTTTTCTACAGATGTTTCAAATCTGTCAGTCTTTTGATTAGGTATTTCCTGTACAAATGAGTGTTAAAATATCAAATAAAAACATTTTGAACCAACTAATATTATTAATCTATTAAATTTTCGAAATGTCAAAGACAAAAAAAGTTAACTTTGGACCATTTTTTTGCAACAATGATAGCAAGCACTAAACAATACATACAGTGAGGCATCAGAGTTGAATTGTGGAGAGTTGGCAGACTCCTTGGACATTTGCCAGCGATTCAGATATCTTTGCAGGCACGGCAGGGATGAGCAAACCTTCAGCATGATGAAACCAGCTCGCAGTTCCATCAATAAGGAACCACATGTTGATGCCACCCATTTCTAAAGAAGATAAATTCGATATCAATCATAATTACAGAACTATCAAATTATTAAAATCATAAGATCTAACTGGTGGTAAATATTAATTAAAAGAGAAAAGTTCTTGTTTTTCTAATTTGAATAATCTATAAAAAATAGTGTATTCTTTTTATAAATTTACCTTCATATCAACAGATGGTTGTTGGTTAGCATTAGCTTCTTTAGAGCTTTCCAAACTGTCCTTACTTCCAGGAGACATCACAGCAGCGCTGGGCTGCACCTGAGTTGATGGTACTGACGCAGCAGGGTTCCGTAGGGGCATTGTCAGCTGTTCTAACAGCGCATCGGAACGGCGCTGGGCGGTAGATGGCGCCTGTTTCTCATTGTTACTTGCAGTTTGCGATGTCAAAGATGTTATTGGACTCGGTATCACTGATGACTTTGTGGTTTGAGTTTCTAAAATATAATGAAATCAATTTTATCTATGATGTAATAAATTTTAATCAAAATGTCATAAGTCAATACTTAAAGCAAGCAAACTGTGTACAGAATAAACATATTCATAATACAGTTTAGCTCAACTAAGAGCAAAAACTTGTCATATGTGAACAAAATTGGGTACAAACCTGAGACATTCACATGAGCTGGTAATTTAGCATTTTTCAATAGAGATGTCAATATAACCAGATCTGACTGTGGGTAACCTCCACCATCAACACCACAGAGGCCAACAATTGGTAAAAGAAGCTGAAACAAAAGTCAATTAAAAGTGTAAACAGATCTTTGTCAGGCGATGTACCTGACAATGAACTGTTTACACTGACTAATACTTTCATTTTACCTGTAATCTAACAATATAAATAAAATACAAAGTCACACCGAGATATGAAGTGTTTACTGAGGATGCAACTTAACTACAGATTTACATTAAGATCTGCACTAATTGGAATATTAATTCAATAATGTAGCTGGGACATACAAGTTAAAAGTCATTACCTGCTTGATAGAGACATTTGGAGCTGCTGTGGTTGTGGAAGTCTCATCATAGCTCAGTCCAGCTTCAGAGAGCTTCTTAAGTATTTGTCCCAAAATGATTCTAAACGCATCTCGCGCAGTGCTTAGCTGGTCAATAGGTACTGTGAATATTAGTAAATGTATTTTAAATTTATCACTAAAATCAATTAGGAATTGAATTTAAATAGAGCTGAAAAACTTAGTTTTTACATGACCAAAGTAAAATTGCATAATATTTCACAATATTATGTATGACTAACAAGATTAACCCAAATCTTTACTATATACTTCTTTTGTTTTTTCATTAACATTTTATTATAAAAATAATGACTAATACTTACAATTGTTAGCATTAACACTGATGAAGTGAGCTGAAAGGCATGCAAAGCATGTGTAGAATAGGTCATAAACATCTTCATGGTTCTGGAATTCGCTTTCACTGGAATATAAGATTGAAAATTTTAGTACACATTCTTAGAAAAAAAAATATTCAGAAAACTTAATATGCTTTCATTTGAAGAATTAGATTACATTAAAAAATTTGATGATATTTTATAATAAAAAATATAATTCTTCAGATAAACTATTTTGTTTTTAAACAGTAAATGTGGGTATGTGTCATTCTAGTCACAAATACTTTGTCCAATTACAAAGACTATTATCTTGTGGATCTTTACTATTTCAATTTTATTTTTTTAAGGTTCTATTGAGTGTTAAATTTTTTATTAAGTGTGATATTGATTGACAAGTGATAAATGACCCCAATTCTTACCATTCTATTTTATACCCCTATTTAAGGTTACACTGTCTTGGTAGGCCAAAAACTTACAAATCAATCAAAGCCTTATGAAAAAATTTAATTAGCACAAATTAAATTTCATAAAACAATAGAATATCAAATTATCTAGATATTGACAAAACGCATTCAGTCCAAGGATGGGTGGAAAACGACATAAAAAATATATTGAAAATTTAGGTACAATCATTAATAACAAATTAACAAATAAATAATAAAGAAGGACTGCTGAATAATGAAAAAGGCAGCCATCATAACATTCATGAATTACGAAAAATACACTTTACCAATATGTCATACCTTTTTATTATAGCTTGAATAATTTCCACTGCATCGTTTTTATCGAAAAATGGGCCATAAAGTGCCGTTAAAATTGGTTTAACAGTAGTAGACCACTCAATATTACCCCCTGATGCAGCCATTTTCGAATCGAAAATGATCAATTTTGAAACGTCACTGTCAAAAATATTTTTTTCTTCAGAGGATCCTAGAACTGTTGCCAGATCAAGTCACGAATTATTAAGTGTGTATTCTGGTGTATTCCCCTATTTTGAAACATTTATAGGTTGTATAAAATTGGGAAACATTCAATGTTATTCCAATTCAAATGAAAGCAATGCATTTCCACGATTCCAATTATTTTTTCGAACATAATTTATTGAATTGAGTATAACTAATCTTTGTTTTTAATCAAAGTCAAACTTTATGTTTTCTGTTGAAGTTGAATTGACTTTGATTGATTGAATAAAATTTAAATATATCTTTCATTTGATTAGTTATTTATAATAAGATTAATCTTATTGTATAATTAATAATTAACTTACATTATGTCAGAGAAAACCGCTAAAAAGCGAAAGCACTCAGATGCGAACGGCGATGAAGTTTCAGGTTTAGTTTGTTTATAACCTCAAAGAATTATTTTTGTAAACTTTTTACAATAATTTATATTCATTTACAGAAATCTCGAAGAAGACTGTACATATTCAATGTCCTTACTTGGATACAATTAACAGACATGTTCTTGACTTTGACTTTGAAAAACTGTGTTCAGTGTCACTGACTAGAATCAATGTTTATGCTTGTCTTGTTTGTGGGAAATATTTTCAGGTACTGTAACTATAAGAAACAAAAGTAATATACTTAAATGTATTTATCTTTGCCTATGACAGTTATTTGATTATGCTGTATTTGGAAAGCCTTTCCTATTATCCTTTTCTTCCAGGGCAGAGGAACCAACACACATGCCTACACCCACTCGGTAGCTGATGGCCACCATGTATTTCTTAACCTTCATACCTTAAAGTTCTACTGTCTGCCAGATAACTATGAGGTTATAGGTAAAGTTCTAATTGATGATTATTTTTATAATATAATAAAATTACTACATTTGTTTTATTACCACAAACTTTATTTATTTTCCAGATTCATCATTAAATGACATTAAATATGTGCTTAACCCTATATTTACTCCTGAGCAAATCAAACAGTTGGACTGCAACACTAAAATGTCTAGAGCTATTGATGGTACCATGTATATGCCGGGCATTGTGGGCCTTAATAACATCAAAGCTAATGATTATTGTAATGTTATTTTACAGGTATGTATTATTTACAAATCTTTAAAATAAGTACACACTGCCAGTCACAATTATCTTGAAGTTGTTTTATGTACAGTTGAACTTGAATAGGGGAGAGTCCAAGAGATGGCGATATTTTATTATAGCGGCTACTCTGTAACCCAGGTTCAACTGTATGTTTTTTTAAATTGTAACTTTTCAATGTGATTGTGTTTTGTTTATAGTGTCTTTCTCAAGTACGACCTCTTCGCAATTATTTCTTGCGTGAAGAAAATTATGCAAACATAAAAAGGCCACCAGGTGATTCTTCATTCCTATTGGTGCAACGTTTCGGTGAGCTTATAAGGAAGCTTTGGAACCCTCGAGCCTTCAAAGCTCATGTATCACCCCATGAAATGCTACAAGCAGTTGTACTTTGGTCTAAGAAAAGATTCCAATTTATAAAACAAAGTAAGAATAAAGCAAATTTATTTCTTCACAGAAATTGTAATCATAATATGGATCTTTTCATTTTTTTTAAATTTATTTTAGGTGATCCAATTGATTTTATGTCATGGTTCCTTAATTCTCTTCATATGGCTCTCAATGGTACGAAAAAGCCTAATAGTTCAATAATCTACAAATCTTTCCTGGGTCATATGAGAATATACACAAGGTAAGTTAAAATTACTTGTTATAGAAAAATAAAAAAGGCATGCTTAGATGGTTTGGACACATTAAAAAGAGATTAACAAAGGATATTTATTGCACAAAAGTAAGTAGAAACATTGATCATGGCCAACCTCAAGGTACTTTTATCATCCAGATGCATGTGTGCATAGATATATGAATGTACAAGTGAGTGAAGTGTGTCAGAACTGCGCAAATAGATGTCCTCATACTGCCCTTGGCTACCTTGGTTATGGGTGTGTGTTGTAATACTAATTATTGGTCGCACATTAGTTGAAATCCAACCATAATTCATAATAACCATAGTTCTTCTTCGCTACAGTAACTGCCAAATTTTTCAGACAGGCATTTACAGTCAGAAATTCCGAATGTTTAGTATATAATTTAAATATATTTTTTAGAAAGCTGCCACCCCCAGATGCAGATGATGCTGCAAAAGTAGATCTTACTAGTGAGGAGTATGCTGAAATGATAACGGAGTCCCCATTCTTGTACTTGACTTGTGACTTACCTCCTACACCTCTGTTTACTGATGAGTTTCGTGAAAACATCATACCTCAGGCAAGTGTTACATTATTCGTTGACAAAAGAAAATACTGAGAATTGAGCTTGTATGTCAATAAAATACTTATATTCAATTTTTATTACAGGTAAATTTGTACCAACTGCTGTCAAAGTTCAGTGGTCAAACATCAAAAGAATACAAAACATATAAAGAGAATTTCTTAAAGCGATTTGAAATAACACAATTACCACCTTATCTCATATTGTACATAAAAAGGTTTACAAAAAACACTTTCTTTGTTGAGAAAAATCCAACTGTAGTCAATTTTCCAGTAAAGTGAGTAAAAATTTTTTGATACCAACATAAAAGTACCTTTTAAAACCACCTCACAAGTTTATTAATATGGCTGAAATAATTTCAGAAATGTAGACTTTGGAGATATCCTAACACCAGAAATAAAAGCGAAGCATAAAGGGAAAACAACATATGAATTAGTTGGTAATATAGTTCACGATGGTACTCCAGAGAAGGGCACATACCGCGCCCACGTGTTGCATACGCCAACACAGCAATGGTATTTATTTATTTTGTTATATTTATAGTAAGAAGGGGCAATAGATAAATTATTTTTTATTAATTTAATTTGGACTTTGTTCTAGGTATGAAATGCAAGATCTTCATGTGACAAGCATATTACCACAGATGATAACATTAACAGAAGCCTATATACAAATATATGAATTGAAGCAGGACTGAGATGAATTAATAAAAATTTGAAATATAGTTTATAATCATTTATTTCTTGAATATACAAATTACTGACACTTTACGATGCTTCTATGACAAATTCCTTTTAGATGTTTATCCTTATTCAATATTACAATATCATAAATACATGAATAATATATCATTAAAATGATGGTCATTTGACACTTTATGTAAACAGTACACAATTCAATTTTGTAAACAAATAGTACAGCTTAACAAAATGGTACATACAAAATTTATTTTTGTAAGCTATTGTTTCAGGCTATAAATTAAATATGTTTGAAATGCATTTTATCACATAGGATTATTATATTGTATGTTTAAAAATAAAGACAATAGTTATTAGAATTCGCCATGCATTCATTTATATTAGTTGATTCAAATTATTAATTTATTTTAGTTTAAACTCAAGTTATTCTCATGAAAATCCTTTTATTCATAAAGGTTCACTTTAAGCTCATTTTTGTTTGGCAAACCCAGTAAAGTATCTTGTCTAAAAGTCCGTAAAAAAAGTAACAGAAATCAGGGTTTATTACTCTTTTTATAAAAGTAAAAAGCTTAGGTAGCACTTTTTTCTTGGTTTATGTTTTTTCAAATATTGATTACTTTATTAAACTGAACTATCTGTATTATTAGAACTAGACTGAAGTTTAATGGCTTTCACCCTTCTTGCCAGCTACACGTTTAAATTCTCCCATGTTTGTAGTACAAATGGGGGAGCCATAGAATGCCAGGTGGTTAACCAATGTGACCTCGCCACCTGATTGGTTGTCTTTTATGAATATTTGAATGTTTTGAACATTCTGGAATTTAACAAACTTTAGCGGCACAGGATTGCCCTCCAAGTCACTCGGTGTCAATCTGAAAAACACAAAATGAAGATAAAAAATTCGGACCAATTAATTAAGAGAGAAATATAGTATCATTTAAACTCAAACTTTTAATATAAAAAGCAATATCTTACTCTAATTCTTGCACCGAAGTATTCCCAGCAGCTTGGTCAAAATCAAGTGTTCTTGGCTGGTTGATGAACAACTTCAAAGTCTTTGGGCCTTTATCAGCTGGTGCTTTAATTTTCAACGAGTGTAGTTTCACCACCTAAAACGGCATGTCATATATATATATATGATAAAATTGGCATTAGTGTAGTATGTGTGTGTTACAAACATTTATTAATAAATTACAATTAGTATTTTTCTATATATTGAATATATGGGAACTTTCTATTATTAACTTGATTCAACAATATGATGTTAAACTAATTTGTAAAAAAATTCATACCTGATTAAATGTAATATTAATGATGAGTTGTTCATCACAGTCACTGGCTAGATATCCACCGCCATTATTCAGAGCATGCATTAGTGGATGGTCATCAGCCTCGTTTAAACATTCACATTCACTCTTAGTGATAAATGTCACCAGGTCCATCTGTACAGAAACATATCATATTTATATCATGTGAATTAACATTATTTTTTTATTATTATACATCTTCAATAGATAGGTTACAAAATTAAATTAATATATTCTTACATGTCCTGCTACAGCGCTATCCTCATCTGCAGCTTCGTCGGTACCATAGTACTGTCTAACCTTTGCCTCAAGGGAGCCGGGGTCAGCGCCCTGTAGTCTATCAATTCTTGTCTGTAACAATAACTACCATTATAGAATCCGAAATACGGACGTTAACCATAAAAATATTATGGATATAATACTAGCCCTGTTCTTATAAAATACGAACGTAGGCATTGCACTAATGCCTTGCGCACTTGCGGTTTCCGCACATCGATCAACATCCACTTTTAGAAAAACTGCCCTCGGGAACTTAGCAGGCAACTGTTCAAAAAATGGGGCAATACGTTGGCACGGTGGACACCTGAAATGCAACAAAAGATATGTAAGTATTTCAACTACAATCCTCGCAATGACTAGGAAAAAATAATGTTTTCTCCAGTTTGTACTCACCAAGTAGCTGTAAAGTCTACGACTACCAGCTTTGTACCAGCGTTGGCCATTTCTGTTTGAAAATGAGACTCATTTTCAATTATTGTAGCCAAACCCATTTTGAAATAACTCAAACCGAAATTAGGCGACAGTAATCAAATAATGATATTGGAATGATACTTCAAAATGGAAATTGACCATAGATGTTCGATGACACAGTAAGACAGTGACGTTTAAATTGTCGTTTTTGAGTTGCCATCCAAAAATCATATAAAAGAAAAATGTTGCCATAGGTTGCCATTGTCATATCGGAGACTCGGAATTTTTAACTTTTTAGGTAATTTTCGTACCCTAGCATTACTCTCCAATCTACGAGTTTTGTATGTGAACATGTTAACTGTGGGCTTTAAGAGTCACTTCGTAATATGTCTTCGGCTAATATCAGTCAACATAGGTAGTTGAACTTTGTTAAAGTTATAAAGATAAAGTATAAAATAAGAATGCCCGACGAAGGTTACAGCATGATCGTTCTCGCTCTCGTGAGCGGCCTATAATTTTGTCTTTCAGAACCTGTTGTGTAATATATATTTTTAGGCAAGCGAGATGTTATGTTAATAAAGCCATGCCATGCCACAATATATTCTGTCGACCTTATTTTCAATAATAATAATACATTTTATTATTTCCATCAAGTAGTATCAAGCCCATAATCGACGTGCAAGTATGGTTGCGAGAGAAGTACTCAAAGATCACTCGAAGAGGAAATTCGTAACTTACGTAACCTACTCAACTAATTTACAGAAAACTTATCACAGAATATTCCTTAACTAAAATTCAATGTCTCAATTTTATTTAGTAATAGGTTAGAAATTTTATAATAAATCCAAACAGATTTCAAGCTTGGGATTCGAACCCCCTAGTGTAGAGAGCATCTTTCTATTCTGAATAACAATCTTAAAATAACTTCGTGGTTTAATAAAGTACGGTACGTGTATGGAATAAAAAAAATCATAAAATTGAAACGAATTAAGGCAGATCAAAGTAAGACAGTAGAAAGAATGAGTATCGCCGCAGGCAGTGCGATGGCTCGACATTTACACTCATTTAATTTGATAGCGGGAAGCTTAGCAGGGCTTAGTGGTCACTTGAATAATTTCTTTAGAAACCACTGTTATGATACAAATAGAAATAAATGAAAAACTTTTTCATTTATTGTCTAGAATTTTTTTTTATTATCTCAAAAGTGTCCTGTAGAAATTTTAAATTAAGTTTTCTTAGCTCAGGCGTAATAATATTTTAGAAAAATGAGATAAGAGCTCGGCTTAGAATCTTGGCTCTATTTGCGACCTCATAACGCAAAAAATATATTATACTTAGTTCAAATTTGCTCCCTAAAATGAATTTGATAATTTAAACTCAAAATAAAAATGAGCTATCTAGTACGACTGATAGGAAGCTAATGTAGATAGGATGGAAACAATAAGAGAACTCTACAAGGAAAATAGAGGTACACAGTTTGATACTTGCTACGGTGTATGCAACAACACATGCTACGACTTTTGTCTATTAGCCAATCCACGAAGGAACTTACAGGAGGTACAGAACTTACGAAGGTTACAGTATTTTCATTAGAACGAGCTTAACTGATTTTAAATCATTCAATTCACAAATATTGAACTTCAACTGCTAGATCCTTTCGTTGGCGTTTGTGGTCCTCTGTATTCGTTGGCGACATACTGGTTACCATTGTAACTCTAATCTAAAATAATATGAAACTATTTTATATGTTTCTTTAATACAAAGCCGCTAATCACATAAATTCATCTAACTCTGGGTTATTTGTATACAATCTTCTTAAATAAGTACGCGGAAATGAATTTAAAAGAATTGTTATGCATTTTTTATTCCGTATATACAACAAAGAATAATGTATGTATTATAACAAATAATCGGAAATATAAATATCACTTAAGATCGTGGAAGTATTTTTATATAGCATTATGAAAATGAAATAAAAATAACAAAAATTATTTGCAACAATTGTTTATCATTATTGTTTTGATGTTACTTTTTATTCGCATCGATTACGCGCACTCTTACATCATTGAGGGACACTTTATAAAAGGCCGGCTGCGTTCGGAAAATCTTCAGTTTTATTTAAATAGAGCAGATGTACACTAGTATTGTGAGAAAGTCGTTAGATTATCCTTTTTACCTTTTAGTAAAATGTTCTCACGATCTTTTATACGTGTTGTTATTTATATTATTACAATTTTAATAATAGTCGATGAAAATAGCAGTGAAAGTTTTCCAAGTGTTGATACTGACAGTGATGTTCCTTCGGAATTCGATTATTTGGATGATTTTCCGAAAATTGTTGATCTCCTATTATACTTGCAGTCTTTAAAGAAAATATTGGATTTTTCACATCGACATAAACATGAAATAGATATGAACTTCGCTTATGGTTTATCAATTGTGTACGGTAAGTTGTCATATTAAACTGATATTTATTCAGATTTACGTTAATAGAAATTCGTCTATTTACTTTATAATTGATCAAGATTAGGATATTTGTTTATGCGGTCCGTGAAAAAGTAATTTTCTTGGCATTTTTAAAAAGTTTCAAAATCATACATACATGTATTGTGTGAATTTGAAATTCTCAAATAAGGAAGGAATATCTAATTGGAGCTACTTATAGCGGGTTTGATTAAAATAACAAAAAAATCTTTGAGTTCAGAGAAAGGATTGAAGCAGCTACAAAGCAATGCATTATGATGATAATACGATCACTGTAGCTCTATCTAAAAGTTATAATATTATTGCTTTGTCGGTGAAATATATATTCTTCTCAGTTGATGTCAGCCGGTAGAAAGAGAAAACGAAAAAGAAGAAAGTAGACGATTTTTAAAACAATTTGATAAAGACTCGTGATTTTAATTTCTATCTCAAGTATGGTTGACGATAGTCAGGTGGCTGGCCGTAAAAAATTAAATCAAAATATTAAGGTTTATAAAATCTTGTACGCCGATCCCACGTTTTATGATAATGATTGTTAAAACCTCCTTATGGTGACTTACAGATAATCTACAACACGTTCTGTTAACTAGGGAAGATGATTTGCAGAGGGATTTGAAAATGTACATAAAAAGTTTTCTTCGTTACAACGGCGAGTTATTGCAATATTTCGAACTAATGGTTAAACAGAATAAAGACCAAAAGAACGTTTTAAATAGGAGAGGTATGTTTTGTACTGTTTTATTAAATTTGTCATAATGGCCAGATGTAATCGGCTAGCAGTTGGAAGGAAGAGCACGTGACGACGCGACGACGGAAAATTATTAGACGAGGAATGAAGACGATTGGAAAAGGGTTAAAAATATACTTTCACATGCGTAAAAACTATATAAATATTCATTTTTAGGGACCTAGTTTAAAGAATTTGAAAGATCGTAATTAGAAGTAAAAAAAATTTAACGATTAAAAAAGCTTAAAGTTAATCGAATAACGCTTTTGTTCCAGTAACAACATTATTTGTAAATCGAACACTTGGTATCAAAGGTATCGTTGATTTTAAAAACAGAAAAAAATCACCGATCTTTTTGATGAGAAGTTCATACCCGAAATGGGATAATTATGAATCTAAAGTGAGTCAATTAAGTAGATGGAAACCGGATCCAAGAGAAGCTGGTAAGTTTTCTTTTGTTTAATATACGACTGTAAATAAATCGATAATGTCACTTTATAATCTTCCTCCAATAGGGTTTCGATTTTCAAATTGTTCTATTATATTATTCGTTTTATCAGTCGACTTCTTAATAATGTCACACTTCATGAAACTCATTCCCTTCTTTTTTTTTCTGTGTAAATATTATTTATTTCAACAAGGTTACACAGAAGTTTCCTGCCAAACCACTTACTAACTCTTTTAAGACTATTCCTACATAAACTTAATATAAGTTATCGATAAGTAGTCGATGTCAAAAATATGCTATATAAGCTCTTGGTATATCAATATCAATATTCAATGCCACCTGGATGGCTGGCATTCCACAACGGTGCGATTCTCGCGCAACTTCTTGCCTCGCACAGCCGCGTTGTGGAACGGTCTGTCCTCGGCGGTATTTCCAAACCAATACGACTTAGGGTCCTTCAAGAAGCGAGCCTATCACCACCTCAAAGGCCGGCAACGCATCTGCGGTTCCTCTGGTATTGCTGATGTCCATGGGCGTCGTTGAACACTTCGGTGTTCCCGATGCTCGTTTGCCCCCTTCTGTTATAAAAAAAAATATATATTTAAGAGTAGTAATATTCAATTGACAATAGATAAAAATTATTTAGATTTCGGGAGTTAAATTCCTCGGGCGAAAAATTACAACATTAAAAGATATGGGTCTTTCTATAATTTTCATCACAATCCTTATGTGGATTGTCGAATAGTTTATATTATAAGGTAACAAAGCATTGTTCATTATTATAACTATAGTGACGTGCTGTACAATTATTTTAATATTGAATTGAATATTTAAGATTCTGTTCTCTTTAAGAAAAAAACACCATGTTCAATAGCATTGTTTCAGCAATGAACAAAAACTAGGAATTTTTTAACGGTCTGTGTTTAATAAGAATTTATATATCGCGTTCTTTCTATTAAACAATATGTAGATATTCATTATATTGCTATTACTGCTACTTAGAATATATATTCTGTGGAAGGTTAAAATAGAAAAAAAATCGATGGTTCCTTTATTCATGAAATTAACATGTTTAAATAAAATGCGCAGATGTCATATAAATGTAAAAATCTGGATGACCGAGATTTGCTCGGTATTTTTTTTAAATTATGCTTTTTGGAAATTATATAATATTTTAGTACGAATTACTAATAAAATGATGAAATATGAATAATATTTTTCTATCTTACCAATAGAAAAAGTTAAGTTTATGTTTAAGTTGATTATCGATAAAACACGAATAAAATGACATTTTCTAAAAATGTTTCCTAGCTAGATCGACTTATCGCCCCCGAAACCCCCTATATACTAAATTTTATGAAAATCGTTGGAGCCGATTCAGAGAATCCCAATTACATAAATGAGCAATCTTGTATTTATATATATATATAAATACAAGATTTCTACAAAAAATAGATGACGTTGATTTTTAACTACCAAAAAGTACTATATTATACTTTTAGCTAACAAGTGTTCAAAAATCTTTCAGACTCTGATTGATGTCTTTTCAAAATTGCTTTTGCGTGACCTTCAACTGTGTCTTACAGAATTTTTGTGTTTTAGCACGCACTCTTGCTATTCTATATGTTTTTGGGGGTAATGTTTTTTCATTGTTTACAGATATATGCATTGCTTCATTGGCGAAAAATAGGCTAAACAAACGCGTATGTAGATTTCTTCCAATGTGTTACAACATGTTGGTTAACGGAACAAACTTTGGATATTCTCTTACTCACAGGTGAGTGGAAATACGTAATTTATATTTAAATTACACGATATATTTTATAAACTCGTTACATAGTTAGCAGACTAAAAAAAATAAAGATTTGTTGGTTATAGATGATTGATATCTTCCAGGTTGCTTTGGCTGATTCAAGCTCATCGCGGACGAGGGTGCAGAATATTTTCTACAAGAGAAGACAAGGAACTGATCGACATGTTTTGCACCAAGATATTTCGTGAAGCGAATTACATAGCAGCGAATAACTTCAAAATACTAGATTTGCTGTTAGAGCAAAGTAAGTTTCACCTTAATTTTCTGTATCTAGCCATCTTCTAGATATTGAATTGCGCTTTTTCAACAATTCGTGCCGTTATGTTTGGTATTGACGTAGTGATTATGTTTTTTTTAAGTTACGTAACAAAGGATACATAGCGTCTGTCAGTATGGTCATTATTTTATACCACGTAAAGACAACGTCTGACTTTAATTTGTACGATTTATCATATTATCATTTGAAGTAACAATATTTCTAAAAATTTCGATTAAACGTAGTGCTTAGTAGTTCAAAAGTATCGGAACAAGCTGCCTATTTGACTTAAACTGCCTGATTATGACAAGGTGGTCATTCATTCAGTAAGTTACTATTCATTCATTTTGTGGCTCTGTAAAATTTGCACATTGAATTTAACGCACATATATTATATTTTATGCACATTGCACACCTTACCGAGCTATTCTGAATTTGAAATATTTAAGTCATTGAAAATTATGCTATAAAATATTACTTGAATTAATAAATCAAATGCTCATTGTTCCAGTGACATTGTGTTCGCTATCTGGTTACCCCGACACTCTACGTCGTACCTGGATAGCAAAAGCGCTCAAACATCAGACATCATTGGGTTGTTTCACACTCAAATTACCTGCACAGACTTCAAGTAAATATTCTTACAAAGGTAGCGATAAGTGGGCAATTTCCGCGCCCACAGTAAACATGGTGGGCGGAGCTTGCGATCGACATCTGACTGCGGTCGCCTCAGGAGCAATATCTGGTGCAGTGAGATACATTTTGGAGCAGAAATATTCCAATAAATAAATACACAAATCTAGAGAATTACAATGAACATTTTTCCGAAACGGACTTGTTATTTTGTTATGAAAAGAAAGCGCGACTGATGTGATTGAAAATCATGTTGTTATTTGTTTTTTTTTGTTAATATTATGATGTAGTATGTTGTTATGAGTTTTTTTTTTAAATATACGATTATTGTGAATGCACATTAAGAGTTTCATTTAATTTAAATGATGCATTAATTGTATTTAATAATAATAAAAATTAAAATATAATGCATTGCATTGTTTTTCTTTTAATTAAATTTGTAACTTTGATGCCTGAATGACCAAGAAAAAGAAATAAGTAACTAAGTAACCTTTCTTTCTACAAAGCTGCTTAACTGTATTGGCTCACACTAACCCTGAGTTAAAACATTTTGTTACCTCTGTTTTGTCAAAGATAACGACAGGGATGACGATATGTTTTATGCAGAGATTTTGGTGTCAGAAACCCACGGTAAGACTGCATGCGCGGGCCAGTAAGACATAGTTTATTGTGTTTTACTGTAGCATTTAGAAATAATTTAACATATAATTGCAATTTAACCACTTATTGCAGTGACTTACTGTTCCTTGGCCGGTTACCCGGACACTATTCGTCGTTCGTGGGTATCAAAAGCGTTGAAACATCAGACACCACTCGGCTGTTTCTCCTACAAGTTACCCGCTCGGTCACCACCGCCGAAATATTCATCGGAAACTAATGACACTAAGTGGGTAATTTTAGAGAACTCAGCGCACATGTTGGGAGGATACTGTCACCGTGGTCTGACAGCACTCACTGGCGCAGCAATATCGGGGGCAGTCAGATTTATATTGGAGCGAGTGTATTCGCGTAATGGTAATAATAACTGAGAAACTTTCATACTATGAGTTTCCACTGTCTCCACAGAACACATTGTCATCATCATACTCTATCAAAAACCACGCTGCATATGTGTTTCAGCAATGATGTCTTTTTATATGTTGTGTTATAAAATTGTTTGTGTATATTTTTCAATACATGCTGTATCTATAAATAAAACATAATTTTGCTTAGTGACTTCAAATATATTACTTGCGTTTGTTGTTTTATTTATTTAATTATTTATTTTAAAGTCTTGGACTGTACGGTGAATCTTGTCAAACAGATATTGTTAATACAGGCTCTACTACTGCATTACTAATTTTCAGCAATAGCCTTCCTTATAATGTTTCTACTACGTAAGTACGCCTGAGATATTCCATACAACAAACAAAATGAGAAACATATGAAAACATTATTGACAAGGCAACAAAAAATACTTTAGCTTTTTAATAGCAACTCAATTTTAATAACAGCAAATACTGCTTGGCTATTAAATTTATGTAGGCGCTTAAAAGCAGCACATGTAAATTGACACGTTCATAACATTTTTTAATTTTTTTTTATCTACTATATAAAAATAAAAATTTAACTTACAAACCTTAAGTTACACAAAAAAAATATACCTTACAAGGCCTAGGTTTAGAAACATTAACTAGGATAGCTGTTGTTCCTCCGTTGGGACGTAAAGAGATCACGAAATTCCCGAAACAATTAATAGGAAAATGCAAAAATTGCACGTGTTTAATTTTAACATTTGACATTGTGACATTGAATTATTAATAAAAGTTTCAAGACCATTTGAAATAATTATACATGTTAGTACTTAAAGTACTTCTTCCTGATTAAGGTCTAATTGACGGTGAATGTCGAAAGTGACAAGCCGTCCCGTCGTCCTCGCTGTAGCGAGTCAGATGGCCAATGCCGACCGGAACCAACGACAACCGGCTTGAATATTGCATCACAAACTTCCGGTGCAAAGGGACCCTGCATCAACGACCAATGAGTTTTTTATACTAAGAATTGTCCTACAAATGTAGACATTGACTATGGTATGAATTATTTACACCTATAAACTTACATATCGTATAGTAACTTAGTCCTAGCTAATAATCTTACAATTGAAATTACTTCTCTATTGGTAAAGATTGGAAATTGGTTGAATACTTAGGTAACTTTTTGTGGAACACACAATCTTTTCAATAATTCGTTTCTTCATATTAAAGTGAAATATGTTGACTAATATGCACTTGCGCCTGTAAATAAAGGATTAGAGGTCAATTAGAGGTTGACTTTCTGCGCCGACGTTGTCGTTGGTTATGGTTTATCATTATTACTTCTAATTACGTTTAATTTAGGTAAAGTGTAATGTCCTTAATACCATTTAATAATACTTTTTAAATGCCTAAAAGTAATGTATTGCATCATATATTCAGCAGCTATTGTTAAACATTTTAAGACTTTCAATTTGTCTACAGGATTGGATTGTATAGATTAAATATTCAGTAGCACAAATTGTCAATACGTGCGGAATGCCACTAAGCGTTTGTGATTCGTTGGAAATAGAGGCTAACACTTTGATTTAAGACTGCTTTCCGTTCTTTGTTAACGCTCATACATACGAAATGAAAATATATACTTTTTAGTTTAATGTTCAACGTTAGTATATTTTATATTCATGGTATTCCTTTTCATAATTAATTTACCCTATATTTTAATTATAATAATATTTTTTTCAACTAATTAGAATTCCTGTTGAAGTTCAAACATAGCTGGATTTGAAGGTCATGAAATCACATTTTTTTAATTTGATAATATATCTCTTATGTAACTATTATAACATAAAAATGTATTTACTATGTACATATGTATGTTATTCAAGCTGATAGGTCACTATCCTTATGATCGTATTCCTCGAATTTTCTCAAAGAATAACGTTCCATTAAAAATTCAATATGTTGAACATTAAATGTTGATCGACAGCTGCGGCGATCGAAATCTCAATACGTGACCATAGGCGATTTCGTCGTTACAAACATAATCACGCAACAGAACAATTTGTATGTGTGAACGTCACTTACCCGGGTTCAATAGCACTTTTGAATGTTTTACATTATCTGAAATATGCTTAAGACAACTCTAGTTTAGTTAATCACTTTCTAGCCTTAGGCATTGCTATAATTATTATAAATATACTTTATGTTATGTAATAAGTGTACATTTAAAATAAATGGTAGATATTTGTATAGTGTTCGATTGCACATACGTTGTATGCTTTCAAATTACCGTGAAATTCTCTCTCTATATTGTATTATTACATATTATTGTCACTATTTTTTTGATGATAATGAAAGGGATAACAATACTTTTTTATACTGGTGTTTGTATTTACAAGGTGTCGCCCGCGACTCCGTCCGAGCGGCATTTATAAAAAATATAAGTAGTAGCTTATGTAGTCTTCTAAACTGTGTTCTATATGTATACCAAATTTCATATAAATCCGTTGGGCCGTTCTGGAGATACCTTCAAACAAAAATCCATCCATATAAACATTCGCTTTTATAATATTACTACGATATAACTGTAAACTAGTAAACATCGCCGGTACAAAATTATACTACATTTTTCGCCTCACTAATATTGGCAAGTAACCAAATCAAATAACATTAACATTTGGGCAGTATAAGTTCTAATTTGCTTGTCTTCGAATTAAAATTCGGCCCGAGTTCCCCCGGGACCATCAGAAGCTCATTGTTCTTGGTACAACGGTATCGTCACGCGGCACTCTTGCATTTTAATATTCCATTACTAATGCTCTGCTGTTACCTTCTCGCTCCCAATATTTTCGTTACAATCAGGTTACTTAGTTCCATCGCTGATGTTTTGAATTATAATTTTTATAACGTATCTTTTAAAAGACTTAACTAGGCGTATAGGGTAAACACTCACATTGTCAATGGAATAGGTTCTGTATGGTTAGATCGGTGGGTCGATCAATCGGGCCAATGGGATTTTTTTTCCCACCACGACGATTGAATCCCTAGAATTTTTCTCCCCAAAAGATCGGTACGCGGACGAAAAACACCATTCTGTATGACATGCTTCCACTATCGAAACTCTTATTTTCTGTTGTCCCTTACATTGGCTTTGAGCAGACAGAGATAACAACATGTTTCTGTACTCAACTATGGAAACCCACAGTTAGCGTCACAAACTGTGATTTAATACTCGGTATCCGTATAACAATATTACGCGTATTCACTCAATGTGTTCCTGGAAGGACTTTTTCGTATGCAAATTGTATGACATCCTGAATTGAATGTTCTTCGTGCGCATAGGAAACTGCAACTTATACTGTTCAAAGCGTAAGCTAAATGCTAACGGCGTATTTAAAATGCTTAATAAATTATTTTGTATATAAATAAAATTTATGCTTATTTATTCTTTTTTAACAGCATCAAGATAAAGAATTATCTTCGGTTTGAGAGAAATTTCTTTTCGGCTAAAGAGCAATGAACGTACAACTAAAAAATTACACCAAATTGATCCATAGGTTATTAAAACATTTCTAAAATAAAATAATGAAGAAACAAAACAATGAATGGTACTTAATAATTAACATATCTATGAATACAATTGTAAGAAAAGTTTACAAACTATATCCAGATATTAAACAATAAGTTAGGAAATCATTAGCGAATAGCAACTCCAACCATATAAGAACGTCCGTCATAGCTTTCCAAGTCGTTTCCGATAATAGCAGAGTTCAAATGCCTGGGAAAAGAAATACGTAAAAACTAAGGCTAACTGAATTAACAACAAGGAAGTATGATGAGACCGATGCATATTGAATTCGACTTATCTTAAACATTGTGTGAATAATCTGACATTTAAAGTTATTATATAGTTAAGAATGCATCTGAGGGATGAAGGTTGCGTGGAAGTTGTAACAAACTGTTTTTGTTTGTACAAAACGTGTATTATGAACATATTTCCATTTATGACTAAGTAATTCTACAAGCTCTAGGCTGTGTAATGTTTCCTGGGTCGTTTTCCGTGATCTAGATTTACGTGTTTAGCCATACGATGATTCTTTAAGTTCTTTTTATGCATGTATATTCGTTATATATTATAGTTTAACCAACAAATGCACGTAATTGTATTAAGCAGGGTCGTATTCTTAGTGTGCGACTGAAAGAATAGGTAC